CCCCACGCCACATGACACTGTAATGTTGCCATATCCGCCAGCTGCTCAAGATTCACTGTTCAGGAGGTGTATATCTGAGTCAGTCTTTCTTTGTAACTAAACACTGCCTCACTACCTCACCGACTCACTGCGTCACTGACTCACTACCTCACTGACTCACTACTTCACTGACTCACTGACTCACTGACTCACTACTTCACTGACTCACTGCCTCAATACCTCCCTACCTCACTACCTCACTGACTCACTGCCTCAATACCTCCCTACCTCACTACCTCACTGACTCACTACTTCACTGACTCACCGACTTTTATTGACAATTAAGCTTCTCAGGTAACTACTACGTGTTTCTCAAATCACTATCTGTAATGTTAAGAGACAAAACCATGTCTCACCTGACCTTTTCAACCTCCCCTCCTCAATTCCCCTTCTCTACCCCATCTATCTCACTCCCCCTCTACTTCCTACCCCTCTCCATCACCCCCCCTCCTCCCTACCCCTCCCCACTCCTCCCTACCCCCTCCACCCCCCCCACCCCTGGTCTTGTCAGGTCAAAGACACGTCCACTATACAGTAGACCTTTGGCAACCTCGTTAACTCTAATCACTTCTCTTGAATTATGTAGATGATGTTGTTAGTGAGTCGTTAGGTCTGGTCTGGTCTGGTCAGGTTAGGTTAGATTTAGGTTAGGTTAGATTTAGGTTAGGTTAGGTTAGGTTAGGCTAGGTTTAGACCTTGGTTAGGTTAGGCTAGGTTTAGACTAGGTTAGGTTAGGTTTAGACTAGGTTAGGTTAGGCTAGGTTTAGACTAGGTTAGGTTAGGCTAGGCCAGGCTTCAGACCAGGCCAGGCTAGGCCAGGCTTTAGACCAGGCTAGGCCAGGCCAGGCTTGACCTTCAGGCTAGGCTAGGCCAGGCTTCAGACCTCAGATTAGGCCAGGTTAGGCCAGGCCTAGACCAGGTTAGCAGGGTTAGCCAGGCTTAGACCAGGCCAGTTAGGTTAGGCCATGCTTAGACTATGTTAGGTTAGGTTAGGCCATGCTGACCACAGGGTTAGGTTAGGCCAGGCCAGGTTAGACCTTGCCAGGTTAGGCCAGGCTTTAGACCAGGTTAGGTTAGGTTAGGCTTCAGACCAGGTTGTGCTAGGTTAGGCCATGGCTTAGTGCTCCTGGGACCATCGAGGGACCGTCCACTTCTTACCTAAATCTTACACTGAAGGAGTATCTTATTATAATCAAAGGGGAACAGGTATAGGGCACACGCTACTATAAATTATGGAGGTGATACTCTCTCTCTCTCTCTCTCTCTCTCTCTCTCTCTCTCTCTCTCTCTCTCGGTAATGTTACACGAATGAGTCATGCCAGTTGTCACTCAGAGTATCAACAAAACATTAGTAAACATTAGTTATTTTTACGAGTGTTTTTTTTTCTCCTTCATAAAATTATTCTGTGGTGTTGTGGCACATAACACAAAAAAACTCTAATTGTTTTTCTGCTCTTACCTACTCACCTACCTACCTTCCTACCTACCTACCTACCTACCTACCTACCTTCCTACCTTCCTACCTACCTACCTACCTACCTACCTACCTACCTACCTACCTACCGTCCCTCCCTTTACCAACCCTCTTTCTACCCCCACTTACCCTCGTCCTCACCTCACCAACTCTTCACCTCCCGTCACCAACCCCTCCCCTCCCGTCATCAACCCCTCCCCTTCCCGTCACCAACCCTCCCCCTCCCGTCATATTTAACCTCCTCCCATCATCAACCCTCTCCCTCCTGTCACTGACTCCCTTCTCTCCCAGTCACCAACCTCCTTGCTTTCCTCTAATACACAAATAAAAATTTATCCATAATTAAATAATAATACATAAAAAGTATAAAAATGTAATTAACAAGCGAGAGACCAGAGTTCTCCTCTCTCTCTGTTTTACCTCCCGATGATGGGGCGGGCGGGCGAGCGGGCGGGCGGGGTAAGGGGGTGGAGCGGGGGGAAAAGACAAGGGGGGGTTCGATCTGAAGCCTCATGTGCCTGAAATCTAATTGAACCAGTGCCAAGGTGGCTATCAGGAGCAAGTAGCGCCGAATACTGCCTGAATAATGATGGAAGTCTGGCCCGCTGGGAACTGGGAATTAGTTTAGGGGGAGGTGAGGAGGGGGGTGGAGAGAAAACAACATTGTGTGAGTTACTTTGTCACTCACCTACATAAGATGCTATACAAAGGTTGATGTTTGTAAATAGACACGGACACACACACATACATATAGGAGGAAGGAGTGTTAAAGGTGACCCATAGTGCTGAAAATTCTCTCTCTCTCTCTCTCTCTCTCTCTCCTGACCTGTGTTTACGTGACCACTTATCTTACCTTGACCACTTATCTTACCTTGACCACTTACACCTTGCTACTTTAATACGTCTGTTTCTGTATGGGTGTGTATGTCTACTGTCTGTCTGTATCTATTTGTCTGTCTACCTGCTTGTGTGTGTGTGTGTGTGTGTGTGTGTGTGTGTGTGTGTGTAAGCGAGGATCCACTATACGGTCACTGTCAATGTTTGGTCAAATGTCTTTTTCAAGTTAGGTTAGGGTCTATTTATCCCTTGAGTACATATGTCTTAACCCCTTGAGTACGGTATGTCTTAATCCCTTGAGTACGTATGTCCTAGCTACGTGTCCCCTGTCGCTGCAACCTCGACCAAGCTCACAGGTTATATAATGCAGCAATAGAATCAATATTATGCTACTTAACGTGTCCAAGTTTTAATACTATACCATCTAAATCAATGTACAATCCCCTTCACTTGTGCATTTACAGGGGCTCGTCATATAAACATTCCACAAATCATTATCATTGACATATATTTACTACTGTGAGTTTCCTTCTGACGATTGCAAACAAACACCGAGGTACCACACTGCATCACACCTGACGACCCCCTGTAAACGCACAAGTGAAGGGGACTGTACATAATAAGTTGTTCCAGATAACATAGTTCATAATTAGTTATCTGGGATTCTTATTACCATAGAATGTACTAAACCTGAACACAAAAAAATATACTTACAAATTTGAAATACACAATGAAATAAAACCAAGATTATATTATGTTTCCTCGAGTTGAATTCTGTGACTAAAAAAAAAAATCGAAATTACAACCCAGGTGGACAAGATGTGATCCACGAGACACTGGATGACTTTAGGGGTTTATAAACAGTGATCTAGGTAATGGGGGGGTGGGGTAGGGGTGACGTCATTCAGTTGCAATTAAGTGGGTCACTGGGTTAATGTCCCGCAGGTATTAATTAAGGTAATTCCGATTGGGGGTAAAAGTAACTCTGTGTGTGTGTGTGTGTGTGTTGGCATCACACACACACACACACACACACACAACGCTGAAGTACCCCTGACGATCGATCATGTTCTTGACATAACTTAATCCATCATCACATGTCCCTCCACTACCCTCTCTCCCTCCCTACTTCCACTCCACTGACCTCCCTACTTCCACTCCACTACCCTCCCTTCCTCCCCTCCCTACTTCCCTCTTTAGCCTCCCTACTTCCTCCCACCCTCCCTTCCTCCCCTCCCACCCCCCTCTTCCTCCCACTCCACTACCCTCCTTCCTCCTCCACCTACCCTCCCCTACTTCCTCCCTACCACCTCCCCTTGCTCCCCTCCACTGACCTCCCTAACTTCACTCACACTGACCTCCCTACTTCCCTCCACTACCCTCCCTTCCTCCCCTCCCTACCCCCTTCTTCCTCCCTACCCTCCCCTACTTCCCTCCACCCCCTCCTTCCCTCCCACTGACCTCCCCTCGCCTTCCCTCCACCCCAACCTCCCCTACTTCCACTCACTGACCTCCCCTCTTCCTCCCTACCCTCCCCTTCCTCCATCACTACCCCCCCCTTCCTCCCTCCACTACCTTTCTTTCCTCCACAACCTCCCTTCCACTCCCTACCCCTCCCTTCCTCCCCTCCACTACCCCCCTTCCTCCTCCACTACCTCCTTCCTCCCTCCCTCTACCCTCCCTACTTCCTCCACTACCTCCTTCACCCTCCCTACTTCCACTCCACTGACCTCCCTACTTCCACTCCACTACCCTCCCTTCCTCCCCTCCCTACTTCCAATCCACTGACCTCCATACCTCCACTGACCTCCACTACCCTCCCTACCTCCCCCCCATAGAGATGAGGTCTACACTGTGCAACACATACAAGCTAATAAAAAAAGAGGTATTTTCAGACATTATAAGACAGTGTTACCATACTGATGCAGATAAAATACACTACAGTGCATTATGAAACAGTCAGACAATTACTACTGCTCATAACATTAAAGCTTTATAGCAGTAATTAAAAAATATGAATAACGTTCCCCTATTTTCCTCAAGATGGTAAAATTGGGTAGTTTATGTTTTACCGTGGTAGTAACGGGCTGGGTCACACGAGGGAGAAAACTTAGTGTTTACAGGAGTGAGAACCCGTCAACCACATGTTACTGTCACCGTCTGCTGACCTGCCTGTCATCTCTGTCTCACGCTACCACCTGTTTATGTAAACTCTCTCTCTCTCTCTCTCTCTCTCTCTCTCTCTCTCTCTCTCTCTCAACATTAAGGTGCACCCTAACATTATGCTGTCAAACTTTATCCATAAAAAATAAACTCTTCTAAAATTTATTCCTTTGGCATAATAAAAGTTGATAGTTTCATTAATTCTTCAGTTAATATGTTGACCCACACACACACACACACGCTGCATGGCTCGATTAATTAAAATACGAAAAAAAACTAATCCTGACTCAGGTTTCTCAACAATCCGTAAGCAAATTTTTCCCTCATTACTGATGTATAAAGGAGCCCATGTAGTCTTAGTGTAATGTAGACGCCATTTTGGACGCCATCTTCGGTGCCTTACATAAACATACTTCCCATTTGGACGATATATTCACTTAAGAATCATTGAGAAACCTAATCTAACCAAACCTTAACATGTACTCACCTGTGGGTCTTGTCACAGTGTCTTAGCGGAGGTTTGCATCATGGCAGAGTTCCGAGACAGTCTTGCTTCACTGTTTCACTGATTCACATAATGTCTAGTTTGCAAGATTAATTAAGATTTTGTTTTACTTATTTTTTGTAGGATTACTTTCTCACCGATGGGTTCATTTTAGTATCATATGATCCATCTTTCCGCACACACACACACTCATTTGGTTCAAAGGTTCATTTTGGCTTGGCAGTAAAGCAGGTCGATGCTTCACTGATTCATAAGTACGACCCAAGAATTATTCAACTCCTAGAACAGAATCATTGGTTAAAAAAATCATTGGAGTTATATTACTGGTTCAAGTAGTTCATTGTTTAAGGGTTTAATCGTTCATTCAATGTGTCACTGGTTCAAAGGTTCACTGGTTCACTGGTTCAATGGTTTATTAACTTGAGAGTAGCGTTATTATTTCAAAGGTCAATTCTTCAGTGTGTTTTTGGGATTGAAAAACGAGTAACCATGACCTAATTCGACTGGCCCATCGATCCACAAGATTCGTGGTTCACATTCACCCCTTGATACGTTTGGTGGAGCAATTAAGTTTTTTTTTTCAACAATTTACGAAAACCTCTACTCCACCTCCCTCCCCCACCAAACAATTCATACCATAGTTAGCTGAAAAGTTCATAATTTCGTTGGTAAAATAATTGCCTAGTTCCCCGACTCACGGAAACAAGGGAAGTTGGTTCACAGGTTCGGTATGTCGAGAAAATGACGTTGGCGGCTTTCCTGATTCACGGAAACTCAGTATGAATTACACAACCGGGTGGATGGGGGGTTGGGGGGATAGGGAAGGGACTCAGGACCATAAAGAAGCGCGTCATAGCCAGAATTTATGGGTGAGTGTAATTATCATTCACGGCGATCGATTGATGACCGTAGTGGGAGCGACGCACTGCACCCCCTCCCTCCCTCCCTCCCTCCCCCCTCGTTTCTCCCTGCATATGGCAACTATGTACTGCCGACGCTGCTGTCTTGTCTTCTCTATCCTCTCAGTTTTTTTTTTCCCTTCACGTGAAAATAAAATGAGAAGTTGATTTATTTTTTCAGGTAAAAGTGACTATAAGATTGACGCACTTAACATTTTTTTTTTTATCATTTTGGGATTTTTAATGAAATTTTTTTTAGTGCTTAATGTAAATCTAATGAATTTACTTCAGTGACGAGTATTTTGATGTTCCTGTAATATTCTTGGGACCAAAACACATAGTAATTTATTTTCTATCACACTATATCTGATTCTTGCTCATACTAGACATAATTTCACTCATGTGTCTTAACAATTCGCCAAAAACAATGATGACACAGCCTTGATCCCTACATAACCAAGCCTTAAGTGCGTTCAAACAAGTTGTCTCGAAAATCCCCAAGAAAGATAAATTGACTTTTTTTTTATTATTCACTTTGTCGTGCACAGATGAACCTGATTTTTTTGGGGGGTTGGGGGTGGGGGGGTGGGGATTGGGGGGGGTATCAGTTTGGCACAGATTTAATCAATTTCCAAATAATTGTTATTTATTTTTTGTTTTCTTTACTGTTATTATTTTCTGATTGTTCGTCATTATCTTTCTTATTCGCATCATCATTATCAACATGATATTTTCCCTATTATTATAGCAGTTAATACTATCTCGTAAAAACAACAATAATAGTAGCAATAGTAGTTATATTATCATCATTATCATTACTATTATCAATGATTACAATTACCATAGCCACTACAGCAAGACAAACTTACACCCATCTTCAGACAGTTGAACATACCGGTAGGTCGACGAGCCTGCCTGATGTACCCAAGAGCTTGAATTCCTGGCAGTCAGGAAGTGTCACGCTATGAGGGGAGGGGCGAGGAGGGGAAGAAGAGGGGAGGGAGAGGAAGGGAAGGGGAAGGAAGGGGAGGGGAGACAATATACAGTCCCCAGGGTTATGTACACACACCATATAATAGGTTAGTACTGAAGGGTGATATATAAAGGGGGAGAAAATGAGGGAGGGTACTGGGATGGATGTAGGCTGAGGGAGGGAGAGAAAATGAGGGAGGGTACTGGGATGGATGAAGGCTGAGGAAGGGGGAGAAAATGAGGGAGGGAACTGGGATGGGATGATGAGGGAGGCTGAGGGAGGGAGAGAAAATGAGGGAGGGTACTGGGATGGATGTAGGCCGAGGGAGGGAGAGAAAATGAGGGAGGGTACTGGGATGGATGAAGGCCGAGGGAGGGAGAGAGGTACTCAGAGATTGTAGGGAGTTGAGTACCTCGAGGTTTAGGTACTTTTGAGAGTTCGGATACCAAGACAGGTGGTATCATGGAGCGGAGACGAAAGAACCGGATACCTGAAAGTTCGGATAACAGGGGGACATGAGTAAAAGGGGAGCCGGATACCAAAGAAGCCGGATATCAAAGAAGCCGGATACCAAGGAAGCCGGATACCGAGGAAGCCGAATACCGAGGAAGCCAGATACCAAAGAGGCCGGATACCAAGGAAGCCGGATACGGAGCAAGCCGGATACCGAAGAAACCGGATACCAAGGAAGCCGGATACGGAGCAAACCAGATACCAACGAAGTCGGATACGTAGCAAGCCGGATACCAAAGAAGCCGGATACCGAGGAAGCCTAATACCATTGTATAACCAAATACAAGAATAAATCAGGTCAGACACTAACAACCGGGTGTGGTGGTGGTGGTGAGGGGGTGAAGGACCTTTTCTTTGCAACAGACAAACAAACAAACAAACACAAAACAAGTAAACAAACAAACAAACAAAAAACAAACAAGTAAAGAAACAAACAAACGTCTTACCAGTTATCAATGAAAGTAATTTTGATGATTGTCTGGTTTGCAAACTTCGTATACTTCACCTCTCCCCTTCCCCCTCACCTCTCCCCTTCCTCCCCTCCCCTTCCCCCCTCACCTCCCCTTCCCCCCCTCCCCCTTCCCCCTCACCTCCTCCCCCCCTCCCTCAGCTTCTACTCCTGAAAAAAACCCATGATGGATCCTTCCCCCCTCTCCCTCACTTCACCTTCCCCCTCCCCCCTCCCCCTCCCCCTCACCTACCTGCTACACCATGACTCACCCAGGCTATTTTTACACGTCATTCATCCCCTCTTAGGTAATGAATAAACCTTACAACATAAACTGACCTAGTAAAAAGAAGAAAGTAATTCCTCTCATTCGGATTCAAAATAGCCGCTGGTTATACAACATCACGTATATACATCGAACATTGATGTATATTTTCATCTATATAAAAAAGAACTAATATTTTTTTTTAATTAACTGTAAATTCTCGATATTTAGACTTAATATTACGTGCATGTTTACTTCTCTTCCGTGTTCTTGTTTTTACGGCGTGTGAAAATCGTGTTGGGTTAATATTGCGTAATAATTCATCTTGCCAGAATCTAAACTACTTTGTCTGGGGTCTTGTGAGTAGCGTAGCAGCCTGCGTGTTGCCTGATGATAACGTTCTATACTTGGAAATCATTACGGGTAGTTGTGAATGAAGGTAGTGGAGAGGCTACACACACATACTTACATATCGTACTTACACATATATACACATACATGGCAGACAGCTAGTGACGTCATTCGCTAGGTTCGTTCGGTTCTTTACGACACAAAAGCCGAAAATCACTTGAGTCATTTTTCATCTCATGAGTTAAATACTATTGGTTTATATGACGTACTGCACTGAGTCAATGTTGAGTCACTTCACAGAACGTGTTTTGGAAGTATGCCTAGCTCTCGAGTCAGTTCTAGGTACCAGAGTCACTCACGGCTGCTTTGTAAGATACCTTTTGGAGTTATGAGTCACCCCAGGGAAGTGTTTGAGTCAACGGGTTTGGTCAGTGAAAGGCCTTGTGCTTTTCCGGGTAAAGGTTCACACACACACACACACACACACACACACACACACACACGAAACACCCCCCTACACACACACTCACTCCCCCCACAACACACTCACCACCCACACTCCTTTGTAAGTTTTGATCAAGTGAAATATACAGAGAAAGACACACACACAGACACACACATACACACACTACATCAAGAATATATTTCACATATGTTAACGAAAAAGACATCAGAAAAATACACACACCCCAGAGGCTTTACAGGAGAAGTAGGATTAGCTTGAGAGAATCTGGTCTCCCTCTCCCCCACAACATATAAACTGACTCTGTAAACACGACATGAAGATCCCCCCCTCCCCTCTCTCTCTCTCTCCTCTCACGATCGCCTCTTGTTTCTCTCAAACTGGATCTGTGTTGGCTCCAGCAGTTTCATACTGACTCAAATGGATTTCATACTGACTCAACTGGATTTCATACTGACTCAAATGGATTTCATACTGACTCAACTGGATTTCATACTGACTCAATTGGATCCCATACTGACTCAAATGGATCTCATACAGACTCAAATGGATCTCATATTGACTCACTACTTACCTAATCCACACAATGACTCAGGTTAGGATAGGTTAGGTTAGGTTCGTGCCTATTAGAAGTCTCCATTTCAACAATCGCCCTTCTCACTTAACTCTCTCTGAATGTGACACTAAGACCTGTACTGTATATATACATAAGAACATAAGAATGGAGGAAACTGCAGCGGGCCTATTAACCCATACTGGGCAGTCCCGTTTACACCCAACCCCTATTGCTCATATAAGCATCCAACCTATGTTTGAAGCTATTCAGCGTATTCGAGTTAATGATGATATTTGGTAACTTGTTCCATTCTATTACTTCACTCATTTCGAGCAAGTGTTTACTATTTCCGCCTAAATCTAAATTTGTCTAATTTAAAACCATTGTTACGAGTTCGCTCCTGGTTGGATAGTTTGAGTACCTTTGTAATGGATAGTTTGAGTACCTTTGTAATGTCCCCTTTGTTTAGCCCTGACTTCCATTTATACACCTCTATCATGTCGCCCCTCGCTCTACGTCTCTCGAGGGAGTGCAAATTAAGATGCTTTAACCTGTCTCTGTGCTCAGGGTTCCTAATGCCCAGGGATTAGTCTTGTCATTCTCCTCTGAATTCTTTCCAGGATTCTTTTATCCATTCTGTAGCCACCAGTGACCAGAACTGAACTCATCCAATCCAGGTGTGGTCTCTAGCCTGAATACAGTTTTAGGACCTCATGGTCTTGTAACTAACACTCCCTTTGTATGAACCCAAGTACTTTATTAGCCTTGTTACGAGCAAAAACACATTGTTTACTTGGCTTCAGGTTCCTACTTATCATTACTCTAAGTCTCTCTATGATCGGATTTCTCTATGGCATCGTTGTTCATCTGGTATCTGGTTTCCCTGTTTACATCTCCTATACTGAGTACTTTACATTTGTCCACGTTGAATTTCATCTGCCATTTTTCAGACCATTCGAAAATTTTTTTTAGATCTTCCTGTAGTTTTGCGGAGTCCTCGTCAGATTTAATAACACGTCCTATTTTAGTGTCATCAACAAATTTACTTATGTTGCTGTCTATGCCGATATCTATGTCGTTTATGTATATAATAAATAATAATGGTCAAGTGCTGAGCCTTGGGAACTCCATGACGTTGCTCCAATGGGACTTAGTGCCGTTAATGCTCACTACATGTTTCCTGTCACAAACACGCCCTAATCCATTTAAGGATGTTACCTTTGATGCCATGTGCTTCTACCTTTCTAATTAGTCTTTCGTGGGGGACTCTGTCGAAGGCTTTGCTAAAGTCGAGATATACCACATCATAATTGTGCCCCTCGTCCACTGATTCGAAAACTGATGAAAAGAATGTTAATAGATTAGTTAGACAAGAACGTCCACTTGTGAAGCCATGCTGGGAATCATTGATCAATCGGTCAAGGTCATACGATCAGCTGATTACCTCACTTTGTATCGACAGGTGACCTCCCCTCATCCCCATATATATCACGTTAGGTCAATCACGAAAAAGACTGGAATTGTGTATTGAACGTCAGTCACTCACACACATACACCCTGTCATGATACTCCTACACCCTGACATGACACTCCCCTACACCCTGACATGACACTTCCTTACACCCTGTCATGACACTCCCCTACACCCTGTCATGACACTCCCCTACACCCTGACATGACACTCCCACACCCTGTCATGACACTCCCTACACCCGACACACATGACACTTCCCACACCCCTGGCATGACACTCCTCACACTCTGCTGTCATGACACTCCCCTTACACCTCCTGACATGACACTCCACTACACCCAGCATGACACTCAACTACACACTGACCTGACACTCCCCTTACACCCCTGTCAAGACACTCCACACCCTGGCTTCTGACACTCCTACACCCTGGCATGACACTCCCTTACAAACTGTCATGACACTCTTTCACACCCTGACATGACACTCTCACACCCCTGGACATGGACACTCTACAACCTCAGGCACTTCTTACACCCTGACATGACTCTACACCCCTGACTGACACTCTTACACCTCCTGTCATGACACTCCCCTACACCCTGGCATGACACACTCACATACACCCTGACATGACACTCCCTACACTGACATGACACTTTCTACACCCTGGCATGACACTCCTACACCGTGACATGACACTACCTTATACCTCCTGTCATGACATTCCCCTACACCCTGGCATGACACTCTCACACCCTGACATGACACTTCCCTACACCCTGACATGACACTCTCTACAACCTGCCATGACACTTTACACCCTGACATGACACTCCCCTATACTCTGTCATGACACTCCCCACACCCCCTGACATGACACTCTCTCCTACACCCTGACATGACACTCCCCACACCTGGACATTCCCCACACCCTGGACACCTCACACCCTGGCACATGACACTCTCCTACACCCTGGCATGACACTCCTACACCCTGGCATGACACTCCCTTACACCCTGTCATGACACTCCCCTACACCCTGACACTTCCCTACACCCTGTCATGACACTCCCCTACACCCTGACACTCTCCTACACCCTGGCATGACACTCCTACACCCTGGCATGACACTCCCTTACACCCTGTCATGACACTCCTCCACCCTGACATGACAACTTAACCAATGGGAGGAGTGTGTGTCAGGTATCGTGGACAGGAGCTGACATGACACTGACAAGCTTAAAACTTTTTTATGCAACATCGTAAGACGTAGAAACAATCTCAACTTAATATTGTTAGTTTGGTTAGATTAGGTTGGGTTGGGTTAGGTTAGGTTAGGTTAGGTGGGGGGAGTTAATCATTCTTTTAATCTTTTCTAGTACTGTACTTTTTTCGTTATTATTATTATTATTATTATTATTACTCCCTGGTCGATTACAATTAGTCTTGATTGATGGTATAATTAAGTCCTGGTTAACGGAAAAAAAATCATAGGGCACTTACACACACACACACCTGGACGTGGTGACCTCAAGGTATAATGGTAACACCTGTGAATCACCCCCACCACCTCCCATCAACCAGGGAAACGGACAAAGCACCAATTATCAGATCGCGACAAGAAAACAACATGGCTTAAATTTCACCTTTTTCCTTTCTCTCTCTCCTACAAAAAGTAAAGTATATATATATCTCATGATCAAGTTACTGAGGAATTCCAGCATCTTGTTTCTTCACCTGTAGTAAGTGATCTTGATAGTGACATTACCATAGAATTCGATATTGAAGTTGACTTAAGTATGAATTTTTTTGGTGGACTTGGCTAAAAATTCTTATATTCATGGTTTTATGATGAGTCTCTCAGGGTGAATGATAACCAGAAACATCTCTTAAACAGGTGCAGAGAGACAGAGAGAGAGACAGTAGTGGAAGAGAGACACACCCTTCTCTTTAACAACCATAAATTAATGAAGGAAAAGATTAAGGAATAAAAAAATATATATTAATTTTAGTCTGACAAAAAATCCCAAATAATATCAAAAAAATTCTTACCCAAATTTCATCTGAATGGGACTAATGCAGGGGTCAACTAGTAGGGGGCGCTGTATAGGTCACGAGGGGTCAACTACCCAAGTGACATTATATCAGAAAATTTTTATAGACCACAATTACTATTCGTATGTAAAGGGTCATAATTATATACAAAAGTACAAGATCTATGTACTTATCCGCCCCACTAATCGCTGAATAAGTATTTAATATTATTATTTTCTTTAAGATTCCAGAAATTAGTTAAAAAAACCATGGTACAACACACGTTACAAAACACCCAACAAACACTCACAAAATACATTTTATATAACAAATCTCACTTTCCTTAAAAATAAGAGAATATTGAAATCTAACTTATATGAGAATAATTAATGTTTACGAATTAAACCGTTAAGTGCTATTCGATAATTCACGCATCGGCAAACTGTCATAACCATTTAAGTAAATATTCCAATAACTATCACCAAAAAGTCCTTTCTTCACTGTACAAGTTGATGTACTGATAGATTTTAAAGATACACTATAACACTCTTATCACATGACGTTTGTCCACAAGTACCGTATGTGTCTGGGTCCAGTGTATGGGTGGGAGCGAGAGCCAGTAGCGTAGTGCACGGAACGACGGTCAGCTAAAGACTACGGAACACCTCGAGTCTCTTCACAATACAACACGTGTTTCAGTTGCCACGCGCCACATTTTGTGTTTCCTTGACCACAGTTCCTCTGATAATGAGCAGGAGGGTACGTTGCTGGTGCTTATTACGGTGTATGGTTCTTTATAAGCATTTGTCATTTTTTTTCATGTGTTGACGTTTGCTTTTAAGCTCTGGGATCATTGGATTTTTTTATACCCTTGTCATGAAGTAAGGGATGGATAGGAGGGGATAATGCATTTCCGTTCATTAACTTGAGAATGAAGTAATTGTATTCCCTAGCCACCGGAGTTGTGGCCAATAATCGACTTGGAAATTTTTATGATGTCAAAACTTCAGCTTCAGTGATGGTTATTTTTTTAACAGTGGACTACGGAAGTTCTACTGTTATGCGAACGTGACAAGTTTACATTTGATCACCAGAAGGCAATACTATATACAGTAGTTTACTAACTGCTTCACTGCATCTATAGGAAGTTAGACCTTTATATCATACTTAACCTAAATACTGTCTAGCAGAGTAATAAAACATTGAGCTTAAATTTAACTTCGTATATTGAATCTGGTAAACAGTGCATGCATCCTCCAGGTAACTAACACAAGCAATATATCGTGCACTTTATGTTATAACTTGCACCTGAGCAAGGTAATGTTTACGACACAAATTAGATATTTAACCTTTTGATTACAGTCTCCTAAAGATCAGGTGGTGCGTCATCCGTCTTCATTACCGAGCGCCTGCGAGCTGCACGCTGATCGAAGTATATTGTTGAGAAGGAAATTCACTCGTGTTGAACTCACTGACTAACATGACTCCTGTACCTAAGTAAAGCTCTTATCGTTCATAATTAACGCGACTACTTAATCAAAGAATTATGTAAGGTGTGAAGTTTAGCATTAGTATGTACTGTACATGTCAACATGATGATGTATAGCTATACTGTTCATGGTTCCCAGAACTAATTGGCAGAATGTCTCAGCTATTGTATGTTTAAGGTTTCAGTAAGATATGATCGAGTTTCTGTTCCTAGACGACGGGCAACTGGGGCAAGATGAGTCCGTTCAGAAACTCATTCCTGCGTTTGCCACTGATCGGCCTGTAAACCGCTTAGACGGCCGGTTACGTCACTGTTACGCACTATCGATGGCTATTACTTCTTTACGGACTCCTTTGGTATAAAATTAAACTGAAGGGACGAGGCACTCATTCTTGGATGCATTTATAGATCCCCAAATAGTAGTTAATTGAATCAGAGCAGGGGCGGATCCAGGAATATCAAAATGGAGGGGGTCCAAGAAATTGTGGGTGACTGACCTAGGTGAGCACGTGAGCCCACCCAGCTGAGGTCTATTGGGAGGGGGCGCTGCAATCCCTCCTCCTCCCGGAAATTTTTTGAAATCTGACCAATGTAATAGGCATTTTGAGGCCACGTGCACTTGATATTTGGATACATTCTGGGGTCAATAGGAATTATTTTTTACGATACAAAAACGCCTGAGTACAATACTGCTGTAAAGTACAGTATTGGAATTTTCTGTTGAAAATGGGGGTCAGGGCCCTCCCTGGAACCGCCCCGCAAAGAAAATTTATTATCCTGAATAGACAACACGACTTCAATTATGGTGACCTCGACTGAAGCAATGAAAGTACACCGAACCTTGCCACTCGTTTTGTAGAATCTCTGACATTTTCCTATTCCCACATATTAATGATCCGACTCGCTATAGAGGTGAAAAAAAACACACCACTGGATCTCATCATAACTAACGAGGTTCACGGTGGCCAAGTTGCTACATCTAGTTCCCATTGGCACTAGTAATCACGTAACATTTGTCCCATAGATTTAACTGTTATTTAGTATATGACGAGAGCAGACCAAGATTCAGATACTACAATGGTGATTACAACAGGATGAAGGAAGGAGCAATGAGCATGGACTGGTCTGACAAGTTGAGAAATAAGATTGGGGAAGTCAGAGGTGTTCAATGAAGTATTTTCCTAGGTGTTTACAAGAGGACAAAAAGAATAAACTAGTGGCTCTTATCGTACACATACCTAGATGGTCCGTTCCTGGCAAGCCTTCAAAAGTGTGGTCCTCCTTCCTTTGGGGTACCGTAGTACTGCCATTCTGTCTGATCCCTGAAATGTGCTCATGACTGCTAGTTATTGTGAACGTCCAAAAGATGGCCACCAAACTTGTGCCTGCACTTGAGCACCTCACGTACCTAGAGAGATTAGAGCGCCTTCAATTGCCTAGTTTATACACTATTCGAGCACAAAGGGTGATTTAACTGAAATTTTTAGGCACTTCAAAAGACACACTCAGTCAAGTCTTTATATCTGAAGCTACTGTACATGCCACACCTTCAAGTTAAAAAAAACCACGCGAAAAAAATGTTTAAGAGCTAGCTTCTTTGGGATAAGCATTGTGAACTCTTGGAATAACCCACCACAGGTGCAGTATACTTGATGCGGAACACTAGAGGAATAACTCAGAGGCTAGGGTTGAGGACCGCACTCCATAGTATAAAAATGTTCAAGATTTAAACATCTTCAATAAAATGTTTCTTTCGTTTCTATTACATGGGATACAGTATTTATCAATTTTGTTGCAAATGAACCACAATAAATAGTTGTATGTTCCATTTGCCCTTTTTATATATACAGTTTGCCCATTTTTAAATATGACCAACGCGTAAAACTTAAAAAAGTTCCTGACACAAATAAATATTGTACCACCAATTCTCAGATTATCTCTTTACAGTTTAGATGGATAATAATAGTAATTGATCTTTATTTTGATGTGTATTACAGTATATATAATCATTTTAAACAATTTATATAACCTTAAAATGTACAAGTCAACACCTATATTTACAGTAATAAAACATGACAATTGTGGAGCCCTACAATCAAAGCACTTGATAATTATGAAACCTCAGTAATGTGGAGTTCACTCAGTCCTGAATATTTTAATAAACATTTCAGGTGGAGTTCACTCAAGTCCTGAATATTTTAATAAACATTTCAGTTCATAATAATCGGTTACTGTACTGTAATAATGTTTTTAGATCACAAATGTTTCAGTAATCAGGATTCTGAAAAGCTGGGAGGAAATGAATCCTTACCAGGGTGGCCGGTTGCATGTTAGTTTAAGGCACAGTGCGGTGCTGTAGCTTAGCAGGCACTTGAGTGTCAGGTTATACTTAGTACTTTTAAAGGGGGGAATCCGCATCAAGAATGGTGACTAAACCAATGTTCGGTTATATAAAGTATGAATAGAAGCCATGATTTTTTAACAGCTTTAATAGTTGACAAATTTTCTAAACTGCTGTACAACTTTTTTTTTTCCATATTCACCACAACAAACACTCTGAGGAGTTCGGTTACAAAATAAAGTTACAATATTTGATTTTCAAGTTCAAATGACTAATTTAAAAAAAATAAGTTTCTCAAAAGTAACTTGTCTTCTCTGTAATTTTACTGGAGTAATATTTCAGAAACTAGTTGGCAGAGGTGTTCTAACTTCACGTTTTTTCAGGTCTCTCTTTACAGTACAGTAGGTACTCTATTCTGGGCATCACAGCAGTCAGTGTGTGATATTTTCCCTGACAAACAGAACTCAGTGAGTACACATGCTTCCAGTTTATCATAACTCAGCACTTTAAGTAACACAAAGAAAGAGTACTTTTACTTGAGTAAGTTTTCTCAGACTAACAGTACAAACATTTATTCAAGTATAGAGATGTTTTCCAGTACTTTGTCCACCACTGTAAACACCTTACTAAAGTAGACACTTAGCCACAGTCCTTTGAGAGACCTGATTACAAATGTGCCACTGTATATTTATGCCAGTACAGTACCTGTGAGTGTGGATGCATATAGAGACAGTTGAATATCCAGTTTACAGAAATCTGAGGATAAGAAAAAAATTGTCCCATGTCTCAATATACATACAAAAAATATTTAAAAAAAAATTTAAAATTTTTTGGGCAGTATCTGAAGATGTTGATATGCTGTCACAGGCATTTTAGGGCTTCCCATAAAGGAGCTGGTCAGCTTATGAAGACAATTACTTTCAAACTATAACCAACATACAGTACTGTATGTATTAAAAATGGTTAACTAAACTAGAAATAAAATACATACAGTATAGTGTTATAGTTATCATGACAAGGGCACATCCAGAGGGGGTCCTGGAGGTCCAGTCCCCCGTTTCATCAGAAAATTCCAATACAGTACTTTTTCTATAATGCAGTATTGTACTTAGGCATTTTTGAAGAGTAAAAAGTAATTACAAGTGACCTCAGAATCTCTCCCAATATCAAGTGTACATGGACTCAAAATGCCCATGATATTGGTCACATTTCTAAACACTTTCTGGTTGGACTCGTTTTACTAGTCCACGTTCCCCCACCCAAAACGTCTTGGACCCCCACGCCCCTTTTGATATTCCTAGATCTGCCCCTGCATGATTCACAAGATTACTATGCAGAGCAGTGGCAAGACACTGTCAAAAGATATTTCAACTGTGGGAGCAGTGATGTGTTTAGTACCCCAGAGTTTAATTTGATGTTAATGGAAAGAATAAAATGTTTAATGGATAAGTTTACCATTTCTTCTTCAGCTAAAACCACATCAAAAATCAAATCCTGTGAGAGCAAAATAACTCAATATGTATACTACTGTATATATGTAGTGCAGTAACCTTCCCCGTTGGTACATCACTACAAAATTAAAACCATCTGTCTTGGCTGGGCCTCACTCTCTCACACTGCATCACAATCAATGATGCAGTTTCTCATTAACATTCATGTCCTCCACCACAAGTACAGTCCATCACTTACAATGTTTATTATTGGCTTAAAATCATTATGCACACCAAAATTTCTCATTAAAACATGTCTTGTAGTATTGTAAGTCATTGTTGGGAAGGATTTTTTTTCATAGGAATGTATTTCAGCTTTTATAATGAGTCTTTGTGAAAGGTGATCTGCTTTATAAAAAATTTATTTGAGAAAGGTTTTCATACAAGTATATATCACGTTTTTCAGGATAATCATCATATTAAACCTTGAAAAGCAACTGATGGTTCTGATACATGAGGATAACATTATGTTTTAATTGCCACAACTAACAGAAATTAGTTCATACATTGTAATTTTTTTTCAATTTAAGATATAATTTACCATCATAACATAACTATGACAAAAAAAATTATGTTAGGTAAGTTTGAGTTGGGTAATGTTATGTTGGTTTGGATTATTAGTTAGCTTAGTGAAGTTGTAGTGTAATATATAATGATAAACTGAGGGCACTGCTCAACAACAGAATTATTTACATAAAATAATCTTGTTTCCTTATTTTAGGTTAGGTTAGGATAGGTTAGGTTAGGTATATTTGCACTAATGTTCTATTTGCATTAAGCTTGACATACATACATACTGCACTAATATATATTTAAACAAGGTGGACTAAATTATTTCTAAGTACAGTACCAGATCCTCAATAACTGGAATTTTATAAAAAAAATTCCTCTCAGATGAAAAACCTTTTAAGAAACACTGTACATTCATAATAATAACAAATAAGTTCTCTGACTTACATGCCGCTAGGCAAACTTATTTCCCAAGAGAATGTTGTGTCTTCTGTGGCTGCCGGACAATCCAAGAGATTCAGAAATACATCCAAATTCCGTAAGACCTGAACACCTCAAACAGACCAGTCCAATATTAAGAGAACATACTGTACATGTGATGGCATCACAAAATTCAACCTGATTAATTGCCTGTCAATTAATTTCATCCCACACAGCTATAATGATGAAAATCTAAAAAAAACTCCTTGATAACTAAATGCATATATATATATAAATAAAAGGTGTAATATCCAATGCCCATAATAATACTGTGTAAAGAACCATACTGTAATTTGAAGCATATACTAGTAATCTATGCTGTATCAGGAATGTTGCTCACAGAGGATATACACCCGACTATTAAAGCTTCATTATTCTCATGAAACAGCATCCATAAACATTACTGAAGAATTATCATTTTCTTCAAACAATAAGGTGATAGAATGGCAACTAATGTAAAAAATATAAGCAAGCGTACATTTTCTAACACAGTGGACGGAATTTATGTACATCACGGTACAAAATTAAGAGAGTACGACAGACAAAACAAACACACATCAATGTTTACTTGAATGGAGATCAATTAGTGGAGTGTAACAAATATCTGAGAATACGTAGATGTCAGAAAATGGAATGACGAGATAAACTGAACCAAAATGTAGCAAGAGAGAGAAATTTAGGTACCTGGTAGAAGCTATAAGAAATGTACGCAGAAAAACAACTGTGTAAGTAATGTATAGGGAAATGACTCTACATTAATATATGGATGTGTGAAGTAAGGGCTCTGGAGGCATGAGAAATAAGCCAAATAAAAGAACCAACGGAAATAATGAGCATGAGAGAAATATCATGGGTCTAGAGGATATTAAAAACAATACAGGAATAAAGAGGCAAGGAAGTAGAAGTAGTGTGAGGCAGAGAGGCAGAGTTATATTAGATGGTCTGGATGTGTTAAGAGAATGGGGAGAGAGACTGATAAAAGGTACAAAATAATTCAGAAGTGGATGGTAGGAAGGAGAGGGGAAGACAACGAAGATGGGAGGAGTGGTGTTAAGGGGGATGAATCTTCAGGAAGTAACAAAATGTGCATGCGTGTGTGCATTCATGCGTGTGTGTTGATGGGTGACGCTGGGTTGTGTGAAGCGACAGGGGGTATCATCAGATGAATATTAAGGACCTTGTTGAATGCACAAGAGGAGTATCAAAGACAATTACTACAGAAATAACAATGAAAGAAGAGAAAATATGTGTGTGTATTTACTCTTGATTCCAGCCACCGTCCATTATTGCAGGGAAACGACATGCAAAATGCAAAAAAAAAAAAAAATATTAAAACTATATATTCAAAGCTCTCTCTTTCTCTACATATATATATCATCTAGTAATTAATTTATTATACATGCTCAAATTACATTCCTTTATATATTCATACTAGAACTTAATCCTATGACCTTTACACATACCAGGTGACTTGACAGAAACTAGTACCTGTGTTGAGATGACTTGGAATAGTTATAGATAATGACAAGAATAAACTTAAATAGGGTTAAGTTAAGAATAAGTAAATGTTTAAATGCTTAGTTTGGAATAGTCTAGTTCATGATTACTGATAACCGACTGTTAAATCATACTGTATATTGGACAGTACAGTATATAATCACAATGGGGAAGAAGTTGTATTTAATTTATATTTTTGTCATGTACAGTATTTAATATCGAGTTTTGTTAGCTTTAATAATGAAGCACTTCTTAACACAGAGCAGTACAGGTTTCAGTATATTTCCAGCATAAAACAAGGAAACTGAACCTGACAATACAACATATGCAATTGCAAATACTATAACTGGGGAAAAAAAAATCACCTAGAATCTGTGTATTTCTTAAATGGATAACAAATTTTTCCAATTAGAAATACTCACTTCTAGTTTACAGATGCCAATATGCCACCTCCCAGTCGTGAAGGATATTGGCCAACATAAGAACTCTTTAACACATAATACTCACACAGCACATGACTCCACATCACCATTTATTACTCCATAGGGACATGTACACATCTCTCGCCATTCTTAACTACATCACATGAAACAATTGTACAAAATTTTACAAATGCTACAACCAACTCATTCATCCTGACGCTTGAATGAAACAACCTGCATTAGAATTTCCTCAGTGTTTCAATGTTTTATACTCAAGTGACTCTGTTTATGACGTTTCCAACTCTATCTTCTCTCACTTCATACATGTTTCCTTACTTATACATTCTTATATTGTACCTTTGGCATATAATTCACCATATAATTTCCACATGTCCTTTTCACGTCGTTATTTCTTTCGATACATATAAAGAAATCATATACGTTTACTACAAGTGCTAGTTACAAGGCACTGACTGATCCATATTGGTTAGTCTGTAAGTATAATGTGAATAAGATCTTGACATGTGAGGTTATGACTAAAACTCAAATTATTTTCTGAACTCAATTCTCAATCAGAACATCAGTAAATACCTTAATCTCCTTCCCAAAGACAACAATCCGATCTATTCAATCTTATAATGATCTGATGTCGTAAAAGCATACATAGAAGTAGGCCGAGACGGTTTGGGCATGTGGTATGAATAGAGGAGACCAACTACATCAAGAGTAGTGCAAGTCTAAATGTGGAGAGGAAGAGAGCTAGTGTTAGGTTATTCCTTCCAGTACTCTCTCTCTCTCTCAACCTACTTAGTTCACGTTCTTGGCGGTTCCATATGTTTCAGATACTTATAGTGACTACTCTGCTCCCTATAAAATAACTCGACTGATAAATTACAGTGCAGCACATCTGTACCCATCCATTTGGTACCTTGTGTGAAATAAACTTGACAAACTTCATCCCTGGAAATGTTTTGTCCCTAATTCATACCTTACTGTACTCATGGTTATGGCTCAAAACATAACCCATCTTTTATAATCTTTTCTACTAACACAACCCCTGGTACCAATGAGGGCAGCCTGAACAGGGAAACTTATACAACACAGTCCTGCATCACACCAGCATAGAAATCCATTGTCCCCCATCTTTGAGTGAGTGAGTGAGTGAGAAAAATGTCATATTAAGTGGATTTGGTACATTACATCAGTCCATCATAGAGTAATAATTTTACTTTATGATTAAGTCAAAGACAGTATTTACCAATGACAAGATCAAGGGCAGCCACTGGTACATATGCTCTAGCCTGGATCATTTCCTACATGTCAAATAGAGAAAAAGAAGTTTACACAGTACAGTACTTTAAGAAGTTTTGAATTTCTTTTTCTGTACATATATATTCCACCATTTTCTTGAGTCAAAGTTAAATTCACTGACTTTGAAATGGAAGATGATTCACGTTTATATTTCAAGCACAGTATACTCTAAACACAAGCTTGGCATAAGTTTAAGATATGCTTTTAATGTCATATTCTTGCTACTTCAACAAACATGCCTCAGTTTGTTCTATATCACTTAAAACACTTGTCATACACCATGGTACTGATACACTTAGATGTCTATTTTTGTCATGTAGACATACAGGCTTAACAGGCCTTTAAATATCCATCAACACTAAGCACCTTAAATTCAGTAAATGTTTTGGTGTACTTGACGAACCACAACTGTATTACTGAAAGGGATATGAAAAACACCCCATCAGTTTCTAATAAGTCATAAACTCTACAGTCAATATAAAAATTTTCTTGATCACAGACTTACCTAGTATAACACAATACTCATGTGATCACCTCAAAGCCGTTTTCGACTTCAAAATGACTAACAACATGGGATTCAAATGACTCCTGTGGGATAACATGAGGAAACACGGCATTGCACATTGGACATATACGGTCCACCTCACCCTGCAGCGCTGGGACTGGTGAGGTACTCACTGTCCGTGTATAAGGCCTTGACGAGTCATTCTCACGACCTTCGTCATCACTCATCTGGGAATAGAATAAGAAATTCAAGTCATTCAAATTACCTCATCATTCATGGGTTGACAAAGCATCATATATATTATATATATATATATATATATATATATATATATATATATATATATATATATATAAATACACATTCCAGCTCTCAACTCTCTTTCAGTCAAACAAGCTGATTATGATCTAGGGTGAAAAGGCTGTAGTTTTGGTATTCATCTGTCATAATCACTCTCAGAATACAGTACTATGGTATATACAGTACTATAACTCTAATAAACACAACATGAAACTGTAGCAGAAATTCACCTGAACTTGTCTCCAATCAAACGGACTATGTGGTCGATCCTCTGCAGCGTTATTGGCATCCATGAGAATGTTGTTGCTACCACCGCTATCTTCTATTGGAGGGCTTTAAAGAAGAGATTTAACTATTAGTACAGGTATCCATTTTCATTTTGCATAAAGGAAGAACTAAATGGTTATACAAACATATTTATATACAGTACTGTATATAGTAAAGGCTGCTATAACTTGCATAATTGACAAAAATTGGTCATTAGGTCATAAGTGTGCTTGTACAATACTATACTGTACTATTAATCTTCTATATAAATCATGCACAGTACCCACACCACCTCCCTCCACTACTACAGAACCCATACCACAATCATATGCCACTACCCAACTGTCCAGGTGCAAGAGGCACACGAGGTTACAATTTCAAACCATTAGTTGTAAAGTCTCCCTTTAAGTTAAATAGAAAACCCCTGAAATCCTTTCCTAGTTACCACTTTAAAACTATTTCATGAACTATCACTGCAGAAAGGAAAAACAAGGACTTGATAAAACATAGTGAGAGAGCAGGAAGGTTAAAACACCAGGGATTACAAGGCAGGTTAAGGTTAATATGTCTGTAGATGTTAAATGATCGTTCACTATTCAATGTGGCAGAAAAGTTCACTGTAATTCTATCCTTACCTATTTAAACCTCCTTCACAAATAAAATTAGAGTTGACAACCGATCCACACGTTGCCAGTCGACTTTGACAGCCTCCCTCATCATCTGCTGCTTCACTTCTTGTCTCATCAAGATGGCTTGGTGTGGAAGGAGTGAGTGTTAAAGTTGACAGATCACGGTCTCGCTGACCAAGAGTTCCATTTTTTGACATGGTCCGAGGACTGTGTTCATTGTTGGCATCAAATCGAGAACCTAAATCGTAAAAAATATAATTCTTTTATCAATTTGAAAAGGTAACATAAATTCTCTCAAGAAAACAAAAATCTCTTACATCCACTCTTTAATTTTTTCTGACTATTTCTTGTAGGAACATAAAGTCTGTCCACAGGCTTTGAACAATGACTAACTGCATTATGGTGGTGTCTGATCTTGAATAGTAATAAGGATAGAGTATGATGTAAAAGGGTTACTTGGGTTGTGGAGATGGAGTGAGCAGGTAAAATGTGTTGGGGTTTGACAGATATGGATAGTAAAAGTATTGATAATTGTCTAAAATATTACATAATTAAAAGTAAAAGTACCGAGATAGTTACTTTTAGGTATTTTATTAATTTGAAAATATAATTTGAGCTCAGTAACAAAGTTGAGTAGCTTTACTTCGTTACCATCCACCTCTGGAAGTGAAGTTATATTACCTTAAATAAACATACTTAAGATTTGTACATACCTGTTTGAGAACCATGAGAGGAAGGCAGAGAATCCAGTATGGGAGACAGCAGTAGCAGACTATGGTTCTGTTTCTGTAAATTGGTGAGAAGATCTTTCATGCGTCTTGTGGCAGACTGTAATGACATCATCAGCTGTTCGTCCTCTTCATCTGACATGCCCCACGTTGAAGTCAAATCACCCATTTCATTACTGCTTATCTATAATGAGACAAATAAATCCAATAAGGGTTATTAATACTTAATTATATACAACTTTAAACACTTGAATGTGTGTTATATCATGTTAAAAGCAAATTAAGAAAGACATGATCACATGATCAGCAGTTTCCAAATATTATATGAGTCCTGTAAATGCTTTTCCTACTTTTTTTGACAATGAGATGGACTAGGAAGTGTTGCCCCCATAAAGGCAAATATTATACTGTAACCAAAATTACCTACTATATGCATGCTTACCTGTTCATAGTCATCTAGAGTATCTTTACATGATGTTGTGAACCTAGATGGAGGATCATCGAAGCTATCAAGTTCCTCTGCAATCATATACACATATAAGAATACTGTATTGCATAGTGATTAGTACAATCAACTTATATTAACAGAAGGCATTTTTTTTCTATCAGAATTCCTTGAATAATCTGTTACAGTCCTGCAGTAAACACAAATAATGGTATTGATTCGTCTATGTGACATATAACTAAACAAAACATATGTTATTGTCTAGGCCATCCTGGTAAAAAGCAAAATTTACAAGCCAGGAGCACAAAAAAAAATGCATGCGAGAAAGATTAAAGATGGAGCTGTAGAAAATATGAGACAAAAAAGTAGCCACCAAACACAGTACGTAGTCATAAATAACCTGAGAGAGGAACAATCTTAGTCCTCGGTGGTGTTGGCATCTCTGCTGCTGAAACTGCCAGGCCTGCCCCTCCAGGTAAAGCTTTAACTTGTGTTGTTATTAGGCTCAGCTTCTCTCTCAATCTTCTGTTCTCATCGTTCAAGTTATTTACCTGATGACCAATTTTTTTTTTTATTATTTGAAGTAAAACAATAACCTGAAGAACTTAAATGCATGTATAATAAATACTCCCACTCTTGGTAGCCAGTTATGGTACATATGAAATTATTATTCATTTAACATGTGGGAAATGAAGATAAATAAGGTTCTAAATTAGCAACAATCAAAATTACTGAAGCAAAGTTACAGACATTTCCTTTGATAAATACAGAGTCACTTTCTGGTCTCTTGAGCTTCTCCACCTGTATAATGTGGCACCACTGTGAAAGATTCCCAGGTTTGCTGACTCATTGTTATTGATAACCTTTGCTCGGCTGGGAATCTTTAGCAGCATTGCCTCATTGCTCGGGAGACCAGTTTCACTGTTAAAGGCGGAAATGAAGCCAATTGTGCATGTTTTCCTGCTTTCTACTTTCCTACTTTTCCAGTTGGAATGCTTCCAGAGGGAAACTTCATTTTCCCATACCTTAAATTTTGTCACAGTAAGCACACAGCAACAGCTCTGCCTATATAAGTCATGCTAACATACAGTATAAAGTTTCAGAAAATTTAAATACTGAAGTATGGTACAGCTCCCTCACTTGGTAGAGTAAGAGGAAACATTCTAAATAAAGGGAAAAAATTTGTGTAACTGTTATTCTGTAGTGAGTGTGACTACATGAAAAGATGACAAAGTATCTATCAATCATCATCTTTTACAGTCATTTATTTACCACATTTGCATGGATTAGCTGAAAACAGTACCTATGACACTAACCTCCTAATACTAATCCCAACAAACTTAACATTCCCACCTCTAAACATATGAACAGAAAGTGTAATAAGTGACCTAAATACATACCTGCTTGGTCAGTTTTCTGTTCTCCTGTGAAGCTCTGGCCAGCTGTCTTGTGAGATTCATATTTTCTGTAGTTATGGAAGAAAACTTCTCCTTAAGCGAGCAGCATTCCTGGTGTTTCGTGTGTATCTCTTGGTTCAACTGTAAGTTTTTTTCTCTGAGTTTAATACTATTTTCCTGAAAATTTAAAACCATATAATGATAATAAAAAGTCTAAGAACACCTGGATAAAAGGAAAACGATAGCCTAAATCAACCCTAAGAACATTCACTTCTAATATGGACTGTTCTAACATATAATCTTCATTCTCTGTCAAAGTCACCCAATGTCATCAACACACTTCCCACGTAATATTCTCTTAATACAGTCCACATCTGCCAACTCTATTCTGTCTGCAATTTCCAAGTCAAGATATGTTGTACTTAAGCTCACTGTCTCTAACATTACTCTCATGACAAATATCTGAGTAAAATTACAACTTTTTACATATCAATCCTGATTATCATTAATTTAACCACCAGCAATCTTTCTTTATTTTCCTCTGTGTGTGTGTGTACAGTAACTCTCTATGCTCTTGGCTTGCATGGAATAACCAAATGGATGTTTTAAAATAAGCGTAGGTTACACCAGGTCCTAAGAAGTGAACTAGCAACAAAGCGTAAGAGTCAGCACTCGAATATCATACAGTACACAAAAAACACTGTGCTTAGATCAATTAAAAGTAAAATCATTTCAAGCATCGTGCATGAGCATGTAATTAACGTAAGCGCAATATGGTGTGGGTGGATGCTAATGACCCAAATCTTATAGTACAGTACCAGTTTCTCCGCCCAAATAAAAGATTAACTTTTATATTCTTTTCATATCCTCTTTCACATTTTCCAAAATATTACAGTATGAGGTTAATTTTTTTTACACTATTATTGTATAAATGGTTATAACTTTTAGAGGAAATATTTGGAACTGAACTCTAAACAGTCAGACAGAATATGAAAACCTGGTCCCTAAGACTCCAGATTAACAGAACGTCTTATGACGAGTTTTCCTAAAAAATTAAGATGCATGAATACACTTAACTGCCTGATTCTACCCAAAACATTGATATAAAAAAAAAGAATAAGAATAACAAAATACTAAAACTCTACCTAACTAGATACATTCACCTTAGAGATGAATTTAAGGTAATCTTTTTTTTACCCTTTCACTGCATAAATCGGAGAAAAAAAATTTCACCTACTTATCTTACCCAAATCTAAATGACTCCAATAAATCCCATAACCTTCCTTAACTTGAAATTCACTTTAATACCATGACTACTGTACATCCATTATTTTCTTCCTTGCTAATTCATAAATAAATTCTCCACAAACTAGAGAATAAATAAGGCTGCCATATGTGCTGTAACCCACATTTAAGTCTGTCAATGCCAAGTGTATCTGTATCAGGAGACGAGATAAGATAGTACAGTACAACTAGTTGACATAGATAAACATGAGGAAGTATAACTGAAGAATGATATATATACTTTAATCACAAGATCTGATGATAGACGAGAGTACTCAATTGATGAGAGAAAGTAGAGAAATATATGAAAATAATGACTAAAATTGACTACCTGAGTGAGATATGCTAGATCTAATAAACAATGTACAGTAAGAGACCAAAGGCTTGAGGGAAATATGAAATGAAAGACGACGAGTCACAGTCACACACGTCTAGTGGAGGAATGTGCACACCTGTTCAAAGGTCATTGGGTAATAAGAGAGGAGTGTTCAATTTCGTATAAGGAGATCTGATGTGGAATAGCATAAAAAAAAAGATTGTGAAAGCTCTAAATATCTGAAAGAGTATCCAAAAATAAGAAGAGGGAAACCAAGAGGTGAAACATATATAAATCTTTATATTATTCAGAGGGACATACAAGGATCATGTCTGCATAAGAATCTAAAAAGGTAACTTATGGTAGGGAAATCACACACCAGTTATACAGAATACATAGTTGATCAAGACGTTTCTAAATACCTGTAGTTTTCCAATTTCTCCGAATAATTCCGACTTTCCACAAATAAGCCTCTGGTTATCATCTTCTATTAGTGCCATTTTCTTCTGCAGTTTGTGATATCTCTCCTTCATGTTTCTGAGAGCAACCTGAAGCACGTTGACATAAGCATGGGAGTGGTTAGATAGAGAAATATCATGCACTCTTCGTTAATGAAAAATATGTAATGCTTATATTATACGTAAGACTACTGCAATACTGATTACATTATATTATGTAAACATGTAAAACTGTCTATTAACCCTTAAATGATGGTGAACTTTTTGTGTAGACTAGTTGCTCTGATGGGAAAGAAACTGGGTAAAATTGTAAATCTTTCATTGTAAAAGACAAGACTTGATCATTACATACAGTGGTGTCATCAGATTTCCTGTACACCTATTGAAAGCCAAGGAAGATACTGTATATGTGACACTGTGCACTTCAGCTTTGGAACTGTTTTATTATCTTTTTACTATTATACAGGGGCAGGAGCATCAACAAGGTAAATGCACATACTGGTGATGCACTCCTACCCAGTACACGTGCAATATGCAGAGAAGAACTTCTACCTCACTTTCCTCCAAGTATCTAAGCACTTCTCCTACACTGATAACTATTTCGTCAGTATCACATGACCTATATCATTTGTGAATTCACTCATAAATATACCAGTTCTTCAATTTTACTCTCACCCTCGAGGTGTCTTTCTGAGGGACACATCACTGGATCTAACAGATACTTTCTCCATGATGACAGAGAACTTTACTGGTGCAGAGAGGGAAAAGTTGAGACGAGTCAAACATTTCACTGGTGGAGAAATCAGGTGCCAAATATAAAATTACAGCATGGATAAAACCCGATAAAAATTAATCACCGTAACTATGGGGCAAAAGACACTCAATACAGATTTACGACAGCCATCATTTAAGGGTTGAAGCAGAAGAAAATACCCACAGTTCAAGTGGGATTAGAGTTAGAGAAAACTGACATGCAGAAAAGACAAACATAGAGATAACATAAGCATTTACGGAACTCATGAAATCATAAAAAAAATCAAGGACACAAAATATTACTAAATGAAAACCAAATCAGAAAACAATAGCACGAGTGACTTTTCATTAGTCATTTTGTGTGGAATAAATGATAAAGATAAAAATTAAATATATTTCTCTTACCTGCAGAGCGTATGTGGAGCCCGACGCATCAATGTTATAGTTAGGACTTCTATCTGGAGTTCGTGGACTGGTTGTAGGACTGGCGGATGAATAGGGACTACCTCGGTCTGAACCACTACCGGGCAACACTCGTCTGAAAGTCAATAGCTTATACTTATTTCCCCCACCTGTTTTTGTATGTCTTTTAGAACCTTTTCCCACTATACTGCAGGTGTGACAGAGACAGACACACACACTGTTTATCTGCTGTTATCCATTCACCATTCCTTCTGTTGCATCATCTCCTATACAGCACTAAGCACTATGCTCTCCTATCTGTCATGTATTCCTCACTATCTTTAATGATCATCCACCCCCTTGTTTCTAATGCAATTTCCCTTCCCTCCTCTCTCTCTCTCTCTCTACACCTCTGAATTATCTCTTGATCAATCCTTCACTTCTCATTTTCTTAATATATCTATACCACTTAAGCAAACCCAAGTGAGCTTGTTAACAGTTCCTTCATTTCTACATTGTCTCCCCAAACCTGTATATCTAATTCCCATCCTTTCTACAGCTTCTAATCTACATCTTCTTTGTGTCCCTGTACAGTGAGAATAGAGACCTCAATCCCTTGCCTTCAAAAATTCACTCTTAACAGGAATAAATAGTTTTTAAACCATCTGATGCATTGCTCTCCTATCACTAATGTGTACTATTGGTTACTCAATGTCAACTCCCCTCACTTGCAGCATTTTCCTCACCTCATCCTTCCATCTCCTTGATTTTTCCCATCTCTCACCTACCTCAGTTATGTACCGTACTCTTCTTGCCACCACCGCATACCCCAGTCAGTTCTTTGTCCACCACTTCTTTCATTTCCATATTTTTGTCTAACACAGTACTGTATCTTATTTTATGCAACAATACTAAACAGAAGTCCTAATGCAACTAATTTAGGGTAAAGACATGCTTACATGCTTAACAAAATGCCTTGCATTAGGATTGACAATCATGATTCATTTCTAAGAACCATATGTAATACAGGGTACTGTACAGTAAATGCAATTGCTGGGAAATACTAATAACACAAATTACTTACACTGTTTGTAACCAATTAAGTCTACACTATAGTACTACCGAACTAGATATGAATAAGAATGGCCAAAAATATTCAAGTATAGTAAATAAATGTGTAAAATGTGAGCCATACCTCCACAGTTCCACCCTTGTTACTGGTTGAGCAGCTGAGCTGAACAAATATTAATTATTGTTTGGGTAAATGTCATACAGCACTGTACAGTATTCACAATTAATAAGTGTTTACAATACACATGGCAATGATATGACCCGAGGAAGTATAAGAAACAATCCCTTGTAGAAGAAATTCCCATTTTGCAGCATAATTATGAGTCGCCTAAAGCTGTTATAAGATCATGGACTTTTCAATTTTACAGTATGTATCTGGAAGGAGACTGGGCTGGTATATAACTGTAAGTAACTCACTCTAGCTGGTTGAAACAATTTCCACTGCATTATTTGGATGATCCAGCTCAAATTCACATCAGATTAACAAAAAAAAAAAAGGGTATCAGAGTCTATTCCATTACAATATTTACCCTGCTGAATGTTTCCTCTCCTGCCGTGGCTGAAAAGGGACAACTGGTGCTCTGAGTGCCCCAGTTGGACGATGCTCAGGCACCCGAAAGTCTGTGCCACCCGCGTGACACTCGGTGCTGGGTAATTGATTGTCAGAGCTGGGTGATATATGTCCTGTGGCCTCGTGTATTCCCAGAATGCTCACATCATCCTCCACGGGCTCAGCCATAATTACAGCTGCAATAAGGATGTACAGTATGTTATACTTTACCATAGATTTTAATTATTCATTCTAGATATCTAAACTACTGTACTTAAATAACAAAATTGACCCTTTGTGTTCATGGTGGCCTCTTGAGCTGAATTAAATCATCTTGCATTAGCCATACAAATATTAAAATTAGCATCGCTGCAGTGAAGGAGTTACGAAAACATAATGAACAATGAAAATAATAATAATAATACCATAATGAATACCAATTTGAATGATGAGGAAGCAAGGTGTATTAATTACAGTACCTCAGAATGGGTGTGCCAGCAAATGTTACAATATGCAATGAAATCAACTACAGATTGGCTGATGTAGAAAGTAAAAATTGACAAAAACTTCCATGGCAGATACACTGGGCGTGATGGGCCTGTCTCCTAGCCCGCCCCACGGTCTTCCAATATTATGCCCTTAAGACTCCTTGTTGGGGTATGTAGAGGATTATGTTTTCCAGACTCCAGTTGTTGGCATTAAAACACTTGGTAAAAGGAAAACCAATAGCAAGCATCAGAGGAGCGACAAAGCACAAGTTGGCTAATGTGAGGACAGAAGTAGAATATCAATTGGATGTGTTACTGTCCACTAAAGGTGCAGATGTTGAGGTGCAGTGAACTACGTATAAACTTATATTTACAGAACAATGCAAAAAAAAAATAATAATAATAATAAAAAATAGAACAGTATTTTATCTCATTTGGTTTTGCTCTGAAAAAATAAACAGGAACAGGACCTTGTCTAAACAGTACTCTACACAGTATACAGGTACATTAATATAATTTTTTCTTGTCATTTTCATATGATAAAGCAATTTTCATAGATTCTGTACATACAGCCTGCTACATATATCATAATTTTCTAACTATCTACTCTACGAGGTCTAATTATGTACATACGTTGTCATATATGGCACAATTGCGTCACACACGTCTTTATTTCCAATATAAAAGTATTTTACTGGACTTCAGGTATTTGAAAAGCTGTATATGCTGTACAGTATAGCCATCCCCACAGTTAACATGGTAATGTTTTATTATACAGTGAAGATGCAGTACAGATACATAGAAATTTTTAAGGGTACAGTACTGATAAACCAACTCCAAACTCACAAGAATCATCTGTTCATCCACCATTAAAATTATGGTTGTTCTAATAATGTGGATTACACCAAACCTTTATCTTATCTACAGTACTGTACTTGGTCATAAACTGGTGCATCACCCAAGTCAAATTAGGAAAGGCTTGACAAGTATTATTTGATTTAGGTTATACAGGAACACAGTTGATAATTTATAATACAGAACAGTACAAATTTCACATACAAATGTAATATATCTGAGTCACCTGTTTGTGCTGGCATTACCATATAACAAAAGTAGCAGTTGGTTGTTCTTGGCAGTACCTGTTAAATACCATCTTCAGGAAATCAAAGATAGTTTTTGCTCATCTTCAAAGCCCCTATTACTATCTACAGTATTCTTGCATTTAGTGATAGAAATTAATGAAATGTTGTACATATACAGTGTGGTATGTAGACTGTACAGATCCACGATTACTGGAAAATCACCCGTAACATACAGTAATGTATCTCATTTTTATATATTGTGTACAGTACTCTTGTATATATTGTAGGCCTAATACAACTAGAAAGGGGATTTTTAAGAGAACACATGAATGCAAATTATAAACCTATATAATCCTATACAGTAGTAAAAAAAAAAAATGAATTCTAACAATTAAATCTTTACCATCAATTTTCTGACCTTTTACTACATATCGTTACAAACTGTGTGAATAAAACACTGATGTTTCTGTAGTTTATATTTTATAAAACTTAAATTAGTTTTTCTCTAAAATGTCTACTTAAGTTTGGGAGTCTTTAAACCACCTCATTTTATCATCCTTTCTTCAGCCCCAGCAGAGGTACCACAATCAGGTCAGAGAGACATCGTATATTTCCTCACTTTCACCCTTAAAGACACAAATAACACACATATCAATGTTAACTACACAAACAAACTCTAATGTTCAAATCATGTGAACAATGTTGCTGTGCTGTTAATTGTTCAAGGTATCAGAATACACTACTGTACCTGTATACATTGTAAGCTAATGTAACAGAAAGCAAAGGTATCACTAGCCACCACCTACAACTACTGTGCTGTACAGTGGACAAGCCAACACTGATAAACTCCATCACTGATTAAGCTCAGATAACATACTGCACAGATAACTCCATTCAAAACATCATACCATACCTGATGCTGTACCGTATAGTAAAAACAAGGCTTTAAAATTTCTCGTAAACTACACATATTAAATACTGGGTGCTGTACTGTATATTATTAATTATAAGACACTCCACAAAGCAGTCTAGATAACTACTGTGCTTAATTATCCTATCTTCAAACACTATGACTACAAAAAAGCATCATTATTCTTCTACAAACATCTCTACAGGGAAAGACCATAGCTACATCTTTCTTATTCTCGACTTAACATAAACTTCAATTTCTTGGCAATAAGGTTAACGACTCCAACGAGCAGTACACAAACAAACAAGTCTATATATACAGTAATTCCCCCTTAACCTAATCTTTTCCATGAACTTCATACGGTGGATCCTCACATTATCACGAGCCAGAACAAACTATTAAGTTAAAGTGGTGTTATGATATATTAAAGTACGGTATACTATAAAGGTTTAAAATGGATTAAATTTTCAGTCATCCTAACCTAACTTTTTACTTTGGATACAGTTAAGCCTTTAATTATTCACACTAATTATCACATCTTTTTAAAATTTACCTTATTTTCTCCTTATTTCTTACTATATTTGTCTTCTATGTAATAATAACTATAGTTTATTACGCCCTTGAGATAAAGACCAAGTGAAATCTACCTATTATTAACCTCCACACAATAAGTTATGGCTACCTTTAACCTATTACCACCCAATTTTCCCTCACTAACTAATATCAATAAATAATTAACTAAAAAATGATAATAGTTAAGATATTCATATTGTTTCATTACCTTTGTTTAAATGAATCACAAGTGTACCAAAACTGTACCCACCCCATTGGTTATATTTTAATTATAGTCTTATATTAATAATTATGGTAGTTTATAAGAGATGGTTAACAGCCTTACCTCATCTGCGTCATTTTTAACATGTGGTCCCTTTAATGACCACACACTATCGTTAATAAATCAGTAGTTAATAATGTGTACTTGTGTAGTCGTGTAGTTCCTGTATACCGAGGACCTGATGTGTGAGGGTAACGAACACGCCTGGCGAACACCTCAGTCAGCGAACACCTCAGTCAGCGAACACTTACCAGCGACCAACCCAAGTTAATGATTTAATTTAATTGTGAATATATAAAGTGAAAATTTGTATAGTTTATGTATAAATATTTTTTTTTTACCTAGGATAAAATATAGAGTAATGATGATGTCCATAACTAACCAGCTAATAATTTGATTTAATAAAAGTTTATTTGTACCTCAAAGTATAATAGTGTGCATGTGTGTGTGTGTGTGTGTGTGTGTGTGTAATAATAATAATAATAATAATAATAATTAACGGCTTATTGAAAAAGTTCTGCAGCCCGAAGGCTGAAAATATACATTGGACATAAATGACTTATTACATACATTGGTGGTTTAACAAAAGCCTTCATTAGAGAAAGGTGAAGGAACATACAGTGAACATACAGATTAATGTAGGTGTTGAACAGCAAACACGTAGTGTAGTAACTCCTTCCCAGGTGGTGTTAGGAGGGACCTCACGTGGTGTAGTAGTTCCCTCACAGATGGTGTTATGAGGGGCCTCACGTGGTGTAGTAATTCCCTCACAGATGGTGTTATGAGGGGCCTCACGTGGTGTAGTAATTCCCTCACAGATGGTGTTATGAGGGGTCTCACGTGGTGTAGTAACTCCCTCACAGTTGGTGTTATGAGGGGCCTCACGTGGTGTAGTAATTCCCTCACAGATGATGTTATGAGGGGCCTCACGTGGTGTAGTAATTCCCTCACAGATGGTGTTATGAGGGGTCTCACGTGGTGTAGTAATTCCCTCACAGATGATGTTATGAGGGGCCTCACGTGGTGTAGTAGTTCCCTCACAGACGGTGTTCTATGAGTGAGGTGTGGTCCCAGGCCTTCCTATCTTAGACGGATTAACACATCGCTGGTTGTTGGGTCGGGCCGTTATCACTGGGTACCTGGGACCTCACTGTGTGAAGGTCAACTTGGGTACCACTGTTACTGTTGAGTTGTTCTCACTGACTTAAGCACTGTTCACCACTGTTCACCTCTGTTTAACACTGGTTCCATTCCTTTCCTAAATGAAATAGTAACTTCTGTGAACTTGTTGATATTCCGGTGGGGAGGAGGGTTCAGGGGAGGGAGTTGGTATGGGCCAACTTAACAGTTGACCTGGCTGCTCCGAAAGGAGCGCCAGGTACGTCTTGACCCTTCGGTGGTCAAGGATGTGTGTGTGTGTGTGTGTGTGTGTGTGTGTGTGTGGAGGAGCTTCTTTAGAGGAAGTCTTCTCTGCTTAAGACCATGGCCGTGGCGTTGTCTGACTTTCACGGCGAGGCATGGGGTATTTATATCATTCTGCCGGATCAAGGGCTGATTTGTGTAACTCGCTGCTGGTTGGCTGGTAAGCGGACGGCAAGTGAACAATCAGCAGTTGTAGGGGAGAGTATCCATTACAATATAATTCATCATCGCTCAGAGTACACCTACTGTAGGGTTAGTTACCCCAGCAGCGAGCGCATAATAAAATGGGATCTTATTTTTTTTTTGAAAGAACGCAACACACACAGAGGTAAAAAACAACTAAGGTTAAGAAATAATAGTCTTTGATGAATTACCTTTATTCAACATAATTTAATCTGTCTAAAAATATACACTATGTATGATAGGAATGTCTTATGAAGCGCATGTCTTTATTATACAATGGCTGTACTGGAGGCAATATATATATAGGGGTGACACTACCAAGATACTCACCACTAATATGTCACGAGCACCCACCTCGATGTCTCTATCACGAGGGTGTATTTATCAAGCTCCATCATCACCAGGTACAGGTAAAAACAGGAGATTGTTAGGGAATATATTACCTTATAGTTTATGATCTACATGTTACAGATATAATTATGCATTACTGGATTTATAGTATTATGTTTCTTCATCTACACGATTTTCCCCAAATTTTCACCAGACACCATGTTCACCGTTCTTATTTGCCCACTTGCTGCTTCCTACATATCCCCCACTTCAACCACCTTTCTTGGTATATTTCTTCTCCTGCCATTCATTTTAGATTGTAAACTCCCTTCCCCCGCCTAAACAGATTTCTTTCACTGCCACATCTCCTTATACACTTATTATTCTCTACAATATCTTTATCCTACATAATTTTATCATGTTTTTCCATTACTTACAATTTGCTCTAATCTCTTGTATCCACAGTCACTACTTAACCCTTCCACGTCTCTAGTTCCCCATTAGTCTCACTCTCACGCTAATACCTCTCGTAAAGTTATTCAGCTCTCCACAGAACTTCTTTCTTTCCTCCTCACTTTCCAGATTCCTTCTTTACACATAACACTCACTACAACTCATCCCCTCTAATCTTAATCTGATCCAACATATTCTGAGATTGACCTCTTAGTTGTATAACACATCTCCACATTCCGTCACTGAATAATTCTGCCACACTTTCCTTCAGTCTTCCCCTCTCGTGACTTTATTCCCTTCACTAGTCCCCAGCCGTTCAGATTCCCTTTACTAATCATATTTTCAATTTCACTCTATTACTTTGATCACAGACAGACAGACACATACTTTTTTAGGCTAATAGCTACGAATTAATACCAAAGGGACCATAGGTATTATATTCATACCTTAGATATAATTTTACTCTTTAATATACCTGTAATATATACCTAAATCAATGTACTGTTGACACATTAAACTTTCTCTCCTGGGTAACTGTTAAAAATGATCAGACTCAACTGTTACATAGACCAGACATGGGCAACCCGTGACCTGGACCATGTGTCTGTGCGGCCCGCGGAATGACCGAGAAATTCTATCTAATGTGGCCCGCGGTTCAGGTAGATGCAGCCAGTTTATAGTGAGTAAAGAATATTTATTAAAAGAATAATCTTCACACACAATTCGTTACTGTTTCTTCACCTAAGAGTAAGTAACTACGAAAATGTAATAAAGAAACAAGTATATACAGTCAACACTAGAATTTTTTTTTAAACTAGTATGAGTTAACTAATTAAGTACTTCCAGAACAACACAAAAACCCAAACCGCACCATGGAAACACATAGTTGGCGAGTAATTAGCATTGAAATAATGTAGTTAAATTTAGTAAGCGTCATTACGACCAATAATTACCCCACAATCGAATCATGGACCATAGTTTCGGAGAGAGACGTGCCTACAGGTTGTTTCATTGTAGTTCCTCATATGCCAAGATTAACATTGGCATTATTCTGGTGGGTGTGTTTCATAAGTAAGACAAATACTGTAACTGTAGGAAAAATCAACGTGTTCACAGACTGCTTCACTTATCTTCTGTTAAATGCCAAGAAACATTAACATAGCACTTTAAAAATTATCATGATGGATTTGTTTCATTAATGGGAAAAAAGTCTGATTGTAAATTGAAAATATCCTTAGGTAGACGTGAGAATAAACTGCTTCACTGTCCATGCTAATACAATAATAGCAATACTTTTGGGTTCGGTGGGATATAAATGTTAGTGGGTTGGCCTGCTGAAAAATACCTAAATCGTAATGCGGCCCATGACTGAGGAAAGGTTGCCCATGCCTGATATAGATCACAACTCTTTTGATACACCTGGTGACTTGCTGCTAATATACCTGTATATACTAGATTAAATATCATCTAAAATTATATAAATCATCCACCACTACTTGATATTGAAGAAAATCATAAGGTAATTTATATTGATTTTATTCTCATTTTTTTTTCTGTGTGACTAAATTGGATATATTTCTTCGTAAATATTTCCTAATATTCATTTCGATAACTCTACTTAACACAGCTGACTTCTAGAAAACTATGCTCTTTCAACTAAAATAAAAAAGCTCTTTATTCAAATTTGCAAAATAGAAAACTCTACTTTTTAAAACTATTCTATATAAAATAACTCTACTTTTTAAAACTATTCTATATAAAATAACTCTACTTTGATGGAACCTTAAAAACTCTACCCTGAGAGTTGTCCTCCTTAAGATTAATATCTACACAGCATAGTTAAAGTCTTATGAAAGTATGACCTGATAGCCAAGACTTATAGAAATCAACCTTGACAGCCGACACATTATGAAGCTTTATTTTGTTTCTACCAAGTATTATGGAATTAATTTGATAACTGATACTTATAATGCTCCACCATAGCAATCGAACCTTATTAAACTCTATCCTGATAGCTAAGCCTTATAATACTATAATCGAACCTTATTAAACTCTACCCTGATAGCTAAGCTTTATAATACTATGATCGAGCATTATTACGCTCTACCCTGATAGCCGAGCCTTATGGAATCCTACCTTGACAGCCAAGAATTATGGAAGTAATCTAAAAGGCGAACCTAACCGAGCACCGCCTCCATAAACGAGCATTATAAAGCTCTACCCTGATAGCCGAGCCTTATTAGATTTACCTGAATAGTGGAATCTTACCTTGCCAGCGATATCCTATTAAGCATGCTATTAAACCTTTTCTTATCTTACCTAAACGTGCATTATAATTTATTGTTTGTTTGTTAAATACCAAATGACTGCAGCGCTCATTACTCACACATACACTCACACACACACACACACACACCAATAAATACCTTAAGTGTGCTTGACTAAACAAATGCTATCACAGCCACCATGAAGGTTAGGTCAATATTCCTAGGAGTCATGCCGTGTGTGTGTGTGTGTGTGTGTGTGTGTGTGTGTGTGTGTGTGTGTGTGTGTAATATGACACTTCCTATATAGTAAGTTATGAGGATATAAGACGTCTCTGTACTGTTGCATTAATGGTCTTATCAATCCAGGAGCTATTAATTACACGTGTTTATTGTTATCTTGCTTTGGCTCTCCTGTACTCTCAGTTTAAGTTCATACATAATTGTACCTGAGGAAAGCCCAGAGTACACCTGTGGGAAATAATAACAGTAAACACCATACAGGTTACCCCAGTCCGCTGAACTCTCTCCTTCACTGTTGAGGGGTTGACAGTTACACGGCCACCTAAATCTTAATCCTAAACGACATCCTTAAGGAAATATCCTACAAGGATTTAAGTTACTGTTCCTTTTACATTGGGGATGATTATTTTCTATCGTAAACTGTTCTTCACGTCTCATTATGATTGTTACAGCGAGAGGAAAGTATACGCCATCACAATGTTTCGTGGTGGAAGGTAACAAGACGGCTGAGGTGTACCGGAACAGTGTGGTGTGAAGATGCTGCACGATTGTATGTAGCTCAGTCAAAGTCCAGACAAACACTACAGCAGAGTTAGTAGATATGCGGTGCAGGAGCTGGTAGAGGAAGATCTTGGCGGCTAAGACGAAGTAAGAGACGCAGACGGTGTAGTAGTAGACCAAAGAAGAAGAATTTGGAAGAAGTATGTAGTAGACGCAGGCGGCGAGACTACTATACAGGATGGGTTAGAGGCCCAACTTGTTAGCCGGAGGTGACCAGAGAATCCGGACACGTCTGCTACACATATGGTGCGGTGCCATTCCAGCTAACTTCCGCATCTTGCCACCTGTCACACACAACACTTGTTATTTACCTTATAACACACAGACTATTGGCGCAGAAGAAGGTTTATGGAGACCTGGGGTCGTACTAGTGTAGGTAAGACTAGTACTATTATTTCCTACCATTATCTGACATAATTAAGGAAGGAAATGGCTCTTATTTTGTGTGGTTGAAGTCACTGGGAGGATGAAATTTCCACCAATAAGGAATGACAGCCACTTACTTAGTGTGTATGAGGTTCTCAAGGGACGGAGACTGGTGTTCGTCCTTGGAGGCGTGGGCGCGGGTGTCGATAGTGAGGACGGTGGCCGCTGTCTGGCTGGAGTTGCAGGAGTAGTAGTAAAGATCAAACCTGCAGAAGACAAGACCACTCGTTTCAACTAGGACACACACACACACACACACACACACACACACACACACACAAAACCTTTTTTCTTATTCATATTAAGATATTTTGATAACTTCGTAATGAAATCAGTCTAAACAATCTCAACCATTGATTAACATTAAGTAAATATAGTAAAATCTTATAGGGATCAGTTGAATGTTCCTGCCACACTTGGTCTAACTCTCAAGGGAAAACTGAAAATGTTTGGGAGTTTTTTATGACTTTTTATTCACTAAACTCTAACATTGTTGGTGATGTTATGATGTCATAAATGATTCGAAGTCTAAGTACGATTACTATCTATGGGGGGTCAATATCTACGGACGAATCATTATTTATGGACGATTATTATTTACGGATGAATTCAAAACCTTGACCTCAGACCCAAGAAAGTTTCACTGTGTGGAGGTAGATCACGTGAGGAAATAACCCAAATGTCAGAAGGGAGACTCAATACTTAAGCCTCTCTCAGTGTTGGTCCTACGGTACAACACACGCCCCTATCAGTACACATCCCCTCAGACACACACCTGTTCTCGGCGTGATAGTCTCGTAAGAGGTCCTTATTAGGGTTGAAGAGGAGACCGTAGGAGTCATTACAGCGAGAGATCCATATAGGGAGAGTAGGAGTCTTCATCCGTGAACCTATCTTGATCTGATCACAACCTTCCTCTCGCTTCCACGCCAAGAGTCCCAGCTCCGCCCGGGTCACGATGCCTGTTTTAGGTTTGGCCTGAAACAAGTCAATGATATGAATGGATCGCATCAAGACAACACTCGTGTCTATCTTAAAATGAATAAATGTTAATTAGCTCGTATAAATGTCGTTAAGTTTATTCAGCGAGACTATTTTATGTAATTCCCCTTTTCCAAAGTATGTCTTATACGTGATACATCTGGAAATAGTTAGACAAAATAAATAATCTCTTAGGATGAAGAATTTTGCCTATACAATGAAAACCCACAGAGAACCATATAGAGCTGCTCGGTATTAACCAGAAACTCATAGGTCTGAGGGTGGCTTACTGACCATGGTATCCTCGCTGCCCTCGTAGATGATGCCGTTATGGAGGAAGAGTGTGGCGCGGCCCGTCAGCATCAGAGTGGCCAAACTCGGGTGGATCGCCCCGTTGGTGAACAAGAATGTCACAGTTTCCCCTCCTAAGTCCTCAGTCACCCTGCCGAGGAATCATCTGGTTAATTTAATGGTCCTGGACAAGTACCTGACCTAATCAACCTTGTGAGGCCAGGTCAAATTGCTCTCATGGTCCTTGATAAGTACCTGACTCAGACTCTAGAGAAATGTCCTTATCAAGTACATAGGAAATATCTCTATCCCCTCCCCCGACCACATGGATGATAGTGACCCATTGATAATCTTTTTCATTGTTAAGTACACGATCAGCAACATAAAGTAGAACATGAGAATAAAAAAATCACCAATAACACGACTTGTGATGACGGAAGACCTACCTGGGGAAGGTGCGAGAGAGAATAAGACTGTACAGGAACAGCAGAAGTCCGTTGCCATTCTCTGACACCAGCTGCAGAGAGAAACACTATGAGCTACACGCCTTCTGTAGTAACTTTGTGGTAGATGAGAACTTTTACAGCTCATAATATCATTGAGAAAGTAAAATCATTTGGGAAGAGTTTGTGTGTGTGTGTGTGTGTGTGTGTGTGTGTGTGTGTGTGTGTGTATCATCTGAAGACCCACCTCATAAAGATGCTTCTTAATGGTGAACTTCAATTCGTCATATCTCGCGAACTCGAAGATAACGATCTGCAACAATAAAACCTTCAGTAGAGGACAGCAGGAGTACTACTAAGAGATGATTGAGTCATCAGATGAGAGAGAGAGAGAGAGAGAGAGAGAGAGACTTTAGTTGTCTGTTGAAGTATGTTGAAAATAAACAAAACATCTCAGTTGGGTGGGTCTCACTCTCTGGTCGTGCCCACCTGCTGGCATGAGTCGTACCTTCTCAGTGCAGCCGTCGTATATGTAGGAGGGATTGTCGTTAACGTAGTTCTCCTCCTGGGTGAGGCAGAGGACGGCGTGTTGTCGCTCTCCGGCTTTCCAGAGGATGTCGCTCAACGCTGCCACGAGAGAGTCCATCTGAGCCCTCCTGGACGTCCGTAGCAGCCTGTAGAAGAGAGTCCCACGGTTCTTTAATTTGTCATGTAGGTTGTTTATGCCAAGCGAGTCTGTTCAGGGTTTTGGTATAGAGGAGGATGATAATATGTTACATATGGCTATGTATTTACACACCGTTAATATACTAAGATGTGTGCTGTATGTTTTTTTTATATCAGTCATGGATGTAAAAGCGGTTTGGTTTTCTATGAAAGATATAAAATATGTATGTCCTTTGATAATATTTTATTTTTGTATTTAATGTGAATTATATTGGTTCAATGTAATTTCTAATATTTTGTAGTCATATGATACTATGTACTTATACAAAGAAGTTTTGAGTTAATGCTCTGATTTTAAAAGATGCATTGTTTGTTTACATGGGAAACGTTCTCTTCCTCCAAGAGTGAATACAGGGTGTGGATGTGAGATCAGGAGAGTGATTGTAATCTTGTTTCATCCATTGTATATCCTGCAATTTGTTATTATTTTATTCACCAGCATTTAGGGTGAATACTAAGTGATACTTCTGTGAATGGAGGAAGAGCCATGTTGTGAGATTGTCAGAAAATTACTATATCAGTTGGGCCACAAGGTCATGCAGTGTTAATGTCTGTACTTTTGTTTTATTGTAAATATAATAGTTGTTAATCACTATAAATTAGTATTTCTCTTTCTTGACTCAATTTGCACAGTATAAAGAATAGTTTTCCTTGGATGTTTTCTCACAGTGTGTTTCAGTCATAGACTATTAATGTTTATACAGTTGTGTTTGAAGAGTACGATAGAGACAGGATCCGTCTATATGTTCTCCACTTATTGAGGACGGACAGGGTGATATGTGTGAGGAATATTGTAATAATTTGTTTTTGACTGTTTTGGAAATAACATCCGGATGTTTAGACTAGGATTCATATTCTGACGTGTGGGCGACGCCCGGCTGAGGCCTTGATCTGGTGCGGTGTTTTGACTGTCAAAATAGGTGGTCGAGGTGTGACTGGCAATGTGAATGATTTATCGATTTAAGATGAATAGCACACACACACACACACACACACACACACACACACACACACACACACACACATATATATCGTTTTCTGGAAAGTCGTTTAATTTTCCTGAAACACAACAGTTTTATAAATATTAAAACTATAGCTGTTGTGGAAAATCAGCTATCATGTGAAACTGTTGTTGATGTAGGCAGAGAGTGGGAGGGAGTGTGGTCACTTAGAGTGGCTGGTTAGAGGGGTGACGTGTGCTTAAATCTAAATACCCATGTAAGTCAACAAACACCTTCACTAACTTAGGTGGCAGTTCTTTCTGTAGTCACATTATTACAGATTTTGTAAATCATGATGCTTATTGAGAACAAGGGGTGAAATAGTTAAAACCCAAGGTTTCTATGCCTAACAAATAATTAAATATAAAAGTAATCTATAAACAGATTGTGACAAATAATACTCGTATTCCTGTTGCCTATAATGGCATTTGAAAAGAATCTGTAGGAGCAGCAACACAAATTGGAATTAATAATATAAAGTAACAACAAAAACAGCAGCAAAGTAAACACGTTGGCTGTATGGGATCAATAGTCTTGGTGAGTCAACAAGAGTGAACATGATTCCAGCTTTTCAGAGATTCATCCTTCATCATAAACAGTTGATTTTCTATGGTTTGAGTGAATGAATAGGTACTTTTACTTCAATGCATTCAAGACTTTGATCATTTGCACCACTTTACCTGTTCCTCTGCTGCTGTTTCTGGGTTAATAAAGTGAAGCTTTCATTTTATATAAACTTAATCAAGGTAAGCGACCAACTCACCTGAGCACATCTCCCACGGCTCCTGATTTGTGTGAGGTGAAGAGAAGGTGTTTGAGAATGTAAGCCTGGACGCACATGACAAGGCCCTTCGTACTGGAGTTGTGGGCCTTGAGGCCGTAGGCTAAGGCTGTCCCTGCCTCGTGGAAGGAAAAGGGCTGACCCAGCCACTCAGTCAACGAAAAAGTGAGCAAGTCCGCTGCCCCGAAGACCTGTGTCCGGAGCTCCTGTAGGGGAGGAACCATGTGACGTAGGTCCTTCAGGGTGCTTCCACCACCCGGAGGTGCTACAGAGGTACTCCACATGTCACAACAGTAGCACTCTACCTACAGCATATATAGAGTACTGTGCCTACTCTACGAGAGATGTACGGCCCTTATAAGGCAAGTGCTTTACGCTCGCTACTACAGAAGTTGTCCATCTACAGGAGAAATAATCCTCTTACAACATATGGAAGTTGTTCACACTAAAGTGCTCCACCAACAGTACACTAAAGTGCTCCACCAACAGTACACTAAAGTGCTCCACCAACAGTACACTAAAGTGCTCCACCAACAGTACACTAAAGTGCTCCAACAACAATACACTAAAGTGCGCCACCAACAGTACACTAAAGTGCTCCACCAACAGTACACTAAAGTGCTCCACCAACAGTACACTAAAGTGCTCCACCAACAGTACACTAAAGTGTGCTCCACCAACAGTACACTAAAGTGCTCCACCAACAGTACACTAAAGTGCTCCACCAACAGTACACTAAAGTGCTCCACCAACAGTACACTAAAGTGCTCCACCAACAGTACACTAAAGTGCTTCACCAACAGTACACTAAGTGCTCCACCAACAGTACACTAAAGTGCTCCACAACAGTACACTAAAGTGCTTCACCAACAGTACACTAAAGTGCTCACCAACAGTACACAGTACACTAAAGTGCTCCACCAACAGTACACTAAAGTGCTCCACCAACAAGTGCTACAACAGTAAAGTGCTCCACCAACAGTACACTAAAGTGCTCCACCAACAATACACTAATGTGCTCCACAAACAGTACACTAAAGTGGCTCCACCAACAGTACACTAAAGTGCTCCACCAACAATACACTAAAGTGCTCCACCAACAGTACACTAAAGTGCTCCACCAACAATACACTAATGTGCTCCACAAACAGTACACTAAAGTGGCTCCACCAACAGTACACTAAAGTGCTCCACCAACACTAAAGTGCTCCACCAACAGTACACTACGGTGCTCCACCAAAATATTACAAAGGCAACAATATAAAGTTCATGCAGTAATATGACTCTCCACCTACAGCACAAAAGCTAATCCACACATTACAAGGATCATGAACTACCACTGATACAAGAGGTCTACTCCACCTACAGTTTAGACAAGTGTCCCAAATAAACTACTTACATAATGTGGCAGATCCCAGAGATGTCACCTACAACATACAACCTACAACACGCACCACCTACAACACCCACCACCTACAACACGCACCACCTACAACATACAACCTACAACACCCACCACCTACAACACTCATCACCTACAACACCCACCAACCTACAACACCCACCACCTACAACACCCACCACCTACAACAACCACCTACAACACTACAACCTACAACACCCACCACCTACAACACACCACCACCTACAACACCACCTACCTGTGCACCCACAACCCCTACCCACAACCTATAACACCCACCACCTACAACAATAACCATTAGATCGATTCCAATGTACTTTGTGGAACAGGTAGGTGCCTTTGAGCCGACCAACCAACCTACAGTAAAAGACGGAGGGACACAACAGCAGCAACAGCAGAGAGAACAGCAGCCACAGCAGCAATAAACAACACCCCCCAGTAATAATGTAAGCAACGATAGCAGCAGCAAGAGAAGAAGCACATGCAGCAACAGGGAAAGCAAGCAGTAGGCGACGATGCAGAAGAACTTACTTACCACGGCCGTGTCAGAGGTGATGGGCTCTCCACCTACTATTGGAACTCGCCGAATACAAGACCTGCTCCTACTGGGGTACAGCACGTGTTCTGTAGGGGTGGCAGCAGGGTAAAGTTAAAGAATGTTTGGGTTAAGTTGGGGTAGGGTGTGGTGTGGGCAGGATGTGGTGGGGGCAGGATGTGGTGGGGGCAGGATGTGGTGTGATGGGAGAGGGCAAGATGAAGTTAATCAGGGTTAGATGAGATATTTTATTAACTATGAGAAGCTATAGGCAGATAACAATAGTTAACACGAAGTTATAGGTGAAGAAAAATAGGTAACACGATGCTATAGATGAAGAACAATAGGTAACACGAAGGAGTATGTAGAGAACAATAAAAACCACTAAGCTATAGGCAGAGAACAATAGGTGATATGAAGCTATAGGCATATAACAATAAATAACTGGAAGCTTTATATAGAGAAAAAAGGTAACACTATGCTATGGGCAGATAACAATAGGTAACATGAAGTAATAGGTATAGCACAATAAAATGTTAAAACTATAGGCAGATAACTATAGGTAACGCGATGATATAGGCAGATAACATCATGTAACACGATGCTATAGGCAGGTAACAATAGGTAACATGATGCTATAGGCAGATGGCAATAGGTAAAATGAAGTAATAGGTAGTGCACAATGAAATGTCAAAACTAAAGGCAGATAATAGGTAACGCAATGCTATAGGCAGATAACACCATGTAATACGATGGTATAGGCAAAGAAAACCATCTAACACGATGCTATAGGCAGATAACACCATCTAACACGATGCTATAGGCAGATAACACCATGTAACACGATTCTATAGGCAGATAACAATAGGTAACACGGTGCTATAGGCAGGGAACAACAGACGGACTTGCGTTAATAATACTTCTTGTGTGGCCCCGAGAGCAGCTCCCAGTGGTGAGTGACCGAGGGTATAGTGAGCACCTCTGGTTTACCCTGGACGACCGTAGTGGTTTACTGTAGGTCCACTCCAAGGCTTAGTGTTGTGTGAGGTATGTTAGTGCCGTAAGGTGAGAGAGAGAGAGAGAGAGAGAGAGAGAGAGAGAGAGAGAGAGAGAGAGAGAGAGAGAGAGAGAGAGAGAGAGAGAGAGAGTATATAAATAACAGTGTACCCTCGTGCTTGCTTGTATTATCCACATAAACGCACAATATTTTTGCTCCACTTCAAAGCTGAAATTAATTTGACAAATAATTACGACGAGGAAAATTTACAAAAATAAGAAACAACTGGCTGAGCAATTACTCTTCGGTAAACAATAAATTTGCTGATGCAATTGCAACTGGTGTTGACTCAAGCCTGGGGATGCAAACGCAACTAGCAATCGCCCTCAGTGATTCATATTGACTCAGTTTATGATGCTTTGCAACATGGCAGATGACTGGGACTCACGCTCACATGACAACGCTAAAATGATCCTTGTGTTCCTGTGTATAAAGACAATTATGTTCCTGTGTATAAAGACAATTATGGCGGAACGTTGCAAAGGAAGGGAGGGAGGGGGAGGGCAGGAGGGAGGGAAGAATGGAGGGCGGGAGGGGGAGGGTAGGAGGGAAGGAAGGAGGGAAGGAAGGAGGGAAGGAAGGAGGTAGTTCGAGTTACCAACTACTAAAACTGAATTAACAATAATGCTAGAATGCAGGGGAGGGAAGGACAGAGGGGAAGGAGGATAGGGAGATTGTAATGGAAGGGAGTGAGGGAGGAGGGATGGAATAGGGGAAGAGGGAGGGATAGGATAAGGAGGAAAGCTAGTGAGAAAGAAAGTTGATAAGGAGGTGCGTTTAGAAGGAAGGAGGAGGATGGAAAAGGAAGAGGAGGAGAAGGAAGGAAAGGAAATAGACTGGCAGATGGAGAAAGGGAAGGAATGGGCACAGGGAGAAGGGGGGGGAGGGAGGAGAGGGGAGGGGGGGGTGGTGGTAGCGGGGCCGAGTGATTTTTTTTGTTTTACTTTGTTTGGTAAAAAATAATAAACAATATGCAGTTAGTAATCTTGTCAACAATATTCCAAAAATATCTTCGTGTTATTTACAGTCATGATATTTTCTCAGGGATTCTCGGCCAGGGTAAAAACATCATCTCTCGATTATACGAAATGTTGATTAAACTGACGAGTATATTGTGAGGGAAATTTCTCTATACTCATGAAATAATAACCGGTCCTAAGCTAACACCTGAAACATATAATAAATTTTTGATAGTTATTTTAAAGACTATAGTTGTTATTTTGATAGTTATCTTAAAGACTATAGTTGTTATTTTGATAGTTATCTTAAAGAACTATAGTTGTTGATGCAGCTAAATTAACACAGCAACGTCTAGTCTACTGAAACGAGGGAGTTATATCCTGAAAAGGCAGCCATCAGAAGCTCTTTGATCTGCCTCCAGGGTTGAGAATATTATTTATGTTTATACCAGATGACGTTAGTCCAGGATTTAGGCAGCCAGGTGAGGTGAAGGTGTCATAAGTCGAGAATTAAATAGTAATAATATAAACTAACGGTGAATTATAATGAATTAAAAAAAAATAATCTTCAACATAGGTCTAATTAAAACCTAAATCTAACTATTTCTTGTTCAATAATCTTCCTACTTTATTAGTTTGATCAAAATCTCTCAATTGATTTTGTTTCATTATTACTTTTTTGTTTAAGGAGAAAATACCACAAATTTAGAGAGATATAGTGAAGATGGCCAAGAAGGTTATAACAGACAGACAGACAGACAGACAGCAGACAGACAGACAGACAGACAGACAGACAGACAGACAGACAGACAGACAGACAGCAGACAGACACACAGCAGACAGACACACAGCAGACAGACAGACAGACAGACAGGTGTACAAGTATGATAGTGGAGGTGTATGACTCCTACAGATGTATAAGACAGGTAGAGCACGGGCATAACAGGTGTATAAAATAATTAGTACAGGTGTATTAATGAGAGAGAATAATTATAACATAGAAAAAGTGTAGAGGTGCAGTATATGAGCTACCACAGGTGTAGTACAGGTGTAACATAGGTGTAGTACAGGTGTAACATAGGTGTACCACAGGTGTAACATAGGTTAAGCACATGCACTGACTGTTGTAGGAGATAGTACGATAGTCGACGTTCCCGATGGCTTGAGTAAGGACGACTTTCTTAACCAATTTGTGGAAGCTTCTGCGACGACCTGGCTTCACCTGGTCCTCCTCCTCCTCTAGCGGATCCGGGTCTAATTAACCCCCAGGTAAAAAAAAAAAAGGTTAGTGTTGAGTAGAAATGATCATT